GCTATTTTCTTTTTCTCTCTTATTGCTTACTACAACACTTTATTCTATTATGGATTTAACAAACAAATTAATCTTTGGTATTAATGGGGGTAATTAATTGAATCTTGATTTTATGATACAACACARAATTCCCAAAYATAGTCMGTGAAGAACAAATCAATATCAAATATTTCACCAAAAGGGCTTCTTCAAAGAGTTGCGATTCGAGATATTGCCTAGTCGACTCTAGAAATACAATATCGAATACTACCGCAATTGATAAGCACGCCCGACTAGTTTACATTCTAGAATTCTTCAAGTCAAGAACCAAAATATCAGTAGCTCCGACGTCGTGAAGAGCATCCATCTTATCGGATACTTCCTTCTTCAGAATTAGAGCTGAGACTGCCTTAGTWGTCCCGCACTCAAGACTCGTAATAGTCGGTGACTTTTTTCCAGGAGTAATTTTGATAGCATCTTGCATCAATTCGTTAGAAATATTATACATAACCATGACGTATTTTGTGGCTGTGATATAGCCCTCGATGCGTCTTTGAATTTTGGTGACGAGGTCCTTATGYTCCGAATTCGGGTTYGAAATCAAGGTAGCCTGWGTGCTCAAGATGTCGTGGACGACTTCTAATCCAGCAGCCTTGAAGGAAAAACAACAGTAATTGCAGAGTCAAAACTCATGGCATGAGGATCAATTAAAATGTGATGAATCAATAAATTCGAAACCAATGGAACCAGTGCAGCGCAAAATCATAACAGAAGGTCTTACCCTCATGGTAGTGCCTGTTTCTACAAGGTCGACAACGGCGTCCGCAAGACCAAGTCCGCAAGCCGCTTCCACAGAACCGGAAATATATTGAATACTGGTCGACACTCCGAGTTTCTCATCGTATTCGTCGAAGAACTTTTTCGTTAGATTGGGRAAACTGGTGGCAATTCTTTTTCCGGCGAGAGCCGTGACGTCTTCAATTTTATCGGCAACTGGTGCTTGAACGGAAAGCCTGCATTTTCCAAATCCCAAATCTAAAATACTGTTGACAACCACTTGGTTTTCTGCAACCATATCTTGTCCCGTGATTCCTAGATCTACGTTACCCTCGCCCACAAATTTGGCAATATCAGATGCAGAAAGAAAGATCAAGGTGATGGGCAATCCGTTACAAACGGCAACATCCAGGCGGGCCTCACGCCGAAACTCGATGCCAGCGCCCTTGAGCGCTTCGACGACCTTTTCGTGAAGCCTTCCTTTCTTGGGGATGGCAAACTTTAGATTTCCGGGTGGACTCGAGTTAGGGGCAGACATTTTCCTCAAAAATCAATAGTGTGAAGGATGTTTTACGATGCTGCTGTTACGAAGTACAAAAGGTTTTGAAATACCGATTGATGGAGAAACCGAGAAAATTAGCGGACACCATGGATGTGTTGACGTGCATTACGGTGCATATTCACCAGTACTTTCTGCGCGCTATCAGTACGACACGGTACGGAAGGATAAGACGACTGAATGCAAGTGCCCTCACACCACTGCTACSGGTAGCAGCCTGAAAAATCGGAACGAAGATTCGACGAAATGAATGATGTAATTGAAGTCGGGACTGATTGGTACGTATGAAAAAACATCGGAGGTAGAAGTATTTMTCTTCTTCGCACACACGTTTGAAGTGACACGTTGAACCTTTTTACTAAAAAATACCTACAAATAACAGTAGTTCGTACTGTTAGCACGATTACCGTAATACGAAAAGGTCGTTAGTAACAATGATARTATCAACTTTCTGTACTAGCTGGTAACGTTATGAAGGCAAATAGTGTAGTAATTCTACCAATAATACGTCACAGTATGAATAGTTGGCTCAATGTTATTCCACGAATCTTGCTCTATACTTGTTGGAAGTACTTTGCCGTTACTTGGAGAGTATTAAGTTGGTTTGMCAACCTGTAATTTTGTTACCATTCCTGTGTCGAGTATTCCGTTGATTAAAAATTGGAATCATTCAAGCCATCGGAACGATAAACTCRACAAAAATGGGAGAGACTTGAGAATGAGTATATTGTTCTTGTATTTAGTCCYATTCAAGGTTATTCTTATAAGTTGTGGACATGCTTGATATCCTCCTCTGAGATACCTCCGAGTTGCATCGATCGCCTGGTAGCAGCTTTGACAGCTGAAATAGCAGCCGAACGAAATCCTCTGTAGCATCGATTCAACGTGACATAAAAATAGAAGACATCAATWGTAGACCCRAGTTAGGATATCGAAAATAAATAACCTTACCCAAAAACTGAACCATGTATAAATTCATAAATTCTTACCCATTTTCTAGCGCTTCCACGCCRGCAATAGTTGTTCCACCTGGGCTTGTCACATCATCTTTGAGTTTCCCGGGGTGATTTCCACTTTCCAATACCATAACAGCTGCTCCCTTGACTGTTTGTGCAGCAAGCTCCATAGCGACATCTCTAGGCAAACCAGAACGGACTCCACCATCAGCCAGCGCTTCAATGAACTGGTAAACGTATGCTGGACCGCTTCCACTSACACCGGTGACTGCGTTTAGCAAAATTTCTTTGATTTTCTTTGCAACTCCGACAGCGTTRAGGAGTTTCTCTACTATCTCCTCGTCGTTACTGTTACAATGCGTACCCATGGCATATCCAGATGCAGCTTCACCCACAAGGCAAGGTGTATTTGGCATGACGCGGACAATTCGTCTCCCTGGAAGGTACCCCTCCARAGTCGCCAAAGTAATGCCTGCGGCAATACTGATGATCACTGCATCACTATCGACACTTGCAATATCAGCACAAACATTCTGTACTACATTTGGCTTGACTGCAATAACGACCACATCCTTAGCGGTCTTACATACTTCTAAATTCGATTCCGTCGCATTGTATCCCTTTTCCAACGCATATTCCACACTTGGTTTGTAAACATCGGAGCAACTGATCGACGAAGGATCGTTGACCAACTTCTTGTTGACGAGACCTTGCATCAACGCGGATGCCATTTTGCCACAACCTAAAAATCCAACGGATAAATCTTTTTCTCCCGACATAATAGAGGATTTACTGTGTCTTTACTTGATAGCTGAATGTATGATATTTGTCCTTTGATTTGATGACTGAGCAGAGCAATCAGTAAATCTATGCCTTTGTCGAAGCTTGTTGGATCGGTTTTGATGWCCTCTCCACAAAAAATACTTCTAGTCGAAAAAGTGATAGCGGTAGAACAAAATCCAAGCAGSGTGAATGAACGGCAACCAATCGTGATACGGCAGGACTGACTTTATTTTGAGTCAAGAGTCCTATCGTAGGACCACTCTACGGTTGTCCTACCTACGGTAGCGGTATCGATTGGCTGGCTAACGCAAAATACTTACTGCGGTGCTAAAACTAAGTTATTACTATGGTTCCATGTCTCTAAAAATGAATAATCTGTTTTTGGTCAAGGTACTAATTTATTTGCAAAAATGGTATACCAGGGTTTACACAAATCCATGCCACACTTAAAAAAGTTTCTTTTTGTTTCCTCGGTAAGTTCAGGGCTGTAAGAATTCTTGAAGGTTACTGGCTACCGTGGACTAGAGATAGTGGAGTCCACTGCACTGTAGCCAATTTTTTTTTAATCTCTTCCACCAGCTTCCCACAAGAGGAATTGTACTAGTTGTGTACCAGTACTACGTACTTACAGCACTACTAAAAGTAATTGAGATACCAAGAAATGCAAGCTCCTCCATGCTGGCAAGTTAAGGTAAATACTGGCAACWATGGCTGTCAATTTTACATTTTCCTGTCTCCATTTCTCCTCCCCCCCTCCACACAAAAAACTACAACAAGAAGTCCCTGAATAACTTTATTAGGAGCCCTAGTATTGGGTCATTCCTGATATTGTAGATGTGCTACTGTTGATAGATTGACAGACCAAAAATCYATTACATCTGTAACAATTTATATTACCTTCCATAGTAGTAGAGGCCAAACTGACACCATCAAATGTAATAGTAAATAGTATTATGATGGAACTCACTATTCAAAATTAAGACAGAACTCGACAAAATTAAGACCAATCTATCCTAAACAAGAATAAACAAGAGAGGTGCCTCTATTGAGAAGGGTACCATGCGCCTCTAACTTTGGAGCCACATGAACTATGTCCCAATAGGTGCTCTTAGTCAGTACATTCTTTTTCCTTTCTTTGTTGCAGCAAAGAGAGCAGCAGCAGCAGCAGCAGCAGGAAGAGGCCTGTGACTACAAAGAGAGGACCAACTGTAAAGAGGCAATCGATTGCCCCCTCCCATCCCCCACACTGTTTTTGTACTAAAGAAGATGTCAAAAGCTGGCAACACCGCCGGCTGGAAGGCTGGTGTAGCAAACTACTCTTGTGATGAGCTACACAGTCTCACCATGAGTATGATACTTGAGTTGCTTCCTATTAGCCCAGATGACTGGGATCTTATTGTTAATGATCACAAAAAATTGTGGCCCTTCTTTAGAACTTCTTGTTTAGAAGCCAGAAATCCACCAAGATCAAGTATCAAGCAGCTAAGAGGATGAAGACCTCAACAGGAAACCCAAACATGCCAGAGTACTTGAAGATGGCACACAAAGCCCATATCTTGATTGGTCAGAAAGCAAATATTGGTAATGGAGAGGAAAACTTTGATCTGAAGAAAGGCTTCATTAAGAGTGAGGCTGTGGAAGGTTTGTAAGAGCCTCTTCCTCCAGCCTCTGAAGTGTCAACTACTGGAGGAGCACCCACTGCTTATGTCCTCCTCCTTAATGGAGCTTCTGAAGGAGCATTGATTGTTCTTGCTGGAGAACAATCATCTGCTGAAGCCTTGGCTGCAGCTGGTGGAGCAATGTCACAGTCATCTTCTGTCTTGACACCTTCTCTTGTTGTACAATCCACTCAGCAAAAGAAATCCAGCAGTGTCCCAGGTGCGGCTGCTTTCAATGAATACATTAAAAGCAAGGAAAAAAGAGAGGAAGGAAGGGACAAAAAGAACCTTGAGATGTAGAAGGACACTATTGGCACTGCAAAGGAAGCAGCAAAGGAATTTCTTGGAGCTGCTGTTACCATGTTCAATCAGTGGCAACACAACAATTCTTACCATGGTCCTCCTCTGTACCATCATCTGGCTAATGCAAGCACTGCTGGTGGTCCTTGACCTCTTTACCATTCATACAGTTCCACAACTCTTGGGGCACCACACAAACGCCAATGCTGTCAAGAGGAATCCCATGGTGCTGGTGGTCTGCTGGCTGCTGCTGGGGCTGGTCCCCAGGAAGAATCCCATGGTGAACTGTACCAGGCTGAAGATGTTTAAATTACTAAACTAAGATAAATAAAATAAAATGAAGCTGTTTGCATTAAAGTACAGTTCTAAATTAATGAGATAAAAGCAGTTGGATTTTTAGTGGGAATAGCAAAAGAGCAGTAGGATTAGCTAACAAGTAGTAGGATTATGTAATTCAGWTTTCATGTAAAGGTTTTTATGTACCCCAATGTGGGATTAGCACGCGCACTGGGGGGGGGGGGTGGGGTTGCAACGTACCTGCATTGGCATACACATTAAGTTAGTTGCCTTTTGATTGGCATGTACATGTTTTGTATCATAGACTTGTCTTCATGACAGTATAACTACTATGAACACGTATTTATTACAGTATAAATCCTTCTTATATACAATTGCATTGCTGTCTATTTACAAACGGGGCTGGCAAGCAGCAAGGGTAAACACRAAAACCAAAAAGCAACAGCTTGCAGCTTGTCTCCCTCCTCACTGGTGCAGTTTATTATTTGAATACAAGTACTGTTTGCAAGAAACAAATATTACAAGAGTAAATTGTAAGATTAAACTGAACTTAAGGAGCCAGCCAAATGAAACAGAAGATTTAAAGATGGGTATGCCAAGCTTTTGCTGGTGTTGGTTAGGCATGTCTAGCTTGCATTGGTCCTTGTTTGGTGAGCACAACTATTGATTTTGATTGCCTATTTCTCTGCATTATTGTTGTCCATTGTTGCCAACTATTGATTGYGTATCTCCTTTGCTGGCTTTCTCACTAAATGCCTCTCACTATAAGCCCTTCTTTCCAACAAACCACAACATCCAATCAACCATGGGATTCATCCCAAAAACACCCCATTTCCATCCAGGGATATCCCRCAACCAACATGAAAGTATCCTTCCACAAATAATTCTTTCTGTAGGGAATCTCATTGGTSGTTGCTGCAGGGGTCTTCATGAAGTTTGATAGGATTTGGTTGTGTCCTACYGTACTGCACTGGAAGTTGTAGAAGTTAATGAGGAGGTGCATGGTGATTTTCCTGTCCCCATCATCTTCCAAGAAAATTTTGTCTTTGATCCTTAGGAACTGTCCCTGGATCACCCTCATTGCCCATTCTGACATCTGACTTAAGGACATGTCATCCCTATTCAACAAGAGGAGGTTTTCTCTGTCAGGATCCCTCTGTGAGCTCTTGAYGAGGCTATCCCAGTATTCCTTGAGTGCAAATGCTGAATCAACTACAACCTTAGCACCATTGCACTCATCATGGGCCCTCACTATCCCTTGATAGAYACCATGGTCATCAAGTATACTGGAGCAAAGACATCCACAAGCTCCCTCCTGAAGACCCTGTGTTCTACGACACCACAGCAGTTGAGCAGTGCTTGGTCAAGCCCTGAGTGGAAGAGGTGGTGGAAGGGGGAATAAGCACATCTCCTGATTGTAAGCTATGGTGTTCTCCTATCCCTCTGTCACCTCTCTTTTGGAGACAGTTTGTTTCTGTAACTTTGCTCCTCTTGGTAATTCAACTGGATGTACCACCAGTACATCATGATCACCTCCACGACCACTATTATTTGTGGTGTTGTTTGTTGCTAGGAGGAAAGTCTTGTCTACTAATAATGTGGCTAGCAATAGTTTGTTGTCAACTCGTAATGCCTAGTGTGAGGAGCATACATATTTTTGATACTAAATTATGAAAGTATAAAAAATGTGTGTGTTCCTTCTACTAGAGTTTTGATCCAAAATTTTGTGTTTTTCTATGTACCAAGTGACGCAGGCGCCTCTTTTTAGTCATTATGTTCAAGTATAGTTAAGATTCCAAATTCCAAAGAAAGACTGCCATTGAGCCTGCATCCCTCTTAGTCTGTCTGTTGAAATTTGATTCCCATTATTATATAAGTAATAAATGTGCTACATATACCAGTTTAGCATTCTATAATATCGGGAATGACCCATTAGGAGTGCAGATCTAATATCAGGAGAGCTACCGATTGGCCAGGAAATTAGTCCTGTAAGACTAAAAAAGYGCATGCTGATTGCGTGCCAATAAAATTTCATACAGTTCATTTGATATGCCTCTTTGAGATTTGTCACTGTTGTGGTGCTTTGGGGGGAGGGACTACTACTAGTAGCTCTAAAAAGTAACAACAACCCAGCCTCTGGTTTTGGTTGGCAGGTTGATTACTACTACAGCACAGCAGTATGTACTACTAAGAACCAACACCACTTTGTTGAACAACAAGAGGAACAAGAAAAGTACTACTAGTACTGCTACAAGTACTGTACTAGTAAGAAATCCTTGCTGGCAATCATGGATGCTTCTTGATGTGTAGGGAGTCAAGGAAGAGGAGTTGGACAGCTGGTACTCCTACTAGTACTAGTAGTACTACTACTAGTGGCAGTACTACTACTACTACTAGTTCTAGTAGTAAGATGAGAAGGAGGACAAGGATAAGGAAAAACAACAAGAAGTAGCAGCAGAAGGGAGCACCACAAGAACAATAATACAAAGAAGAACAATGCCACTACTACTAGTACCACTACAAACCACCAGTAATAATCAACAAGAAGCAACAACAAGAAGTTTCCATCCACTGCCCATCAATAGCACCAGCACGACTAGCACCAGCTACTAGTACTACTAGCAGTTGGCATCTCCTTATTGTTGTTCTTTTTGCTGCTGTTGTTGTCCTGCTGCTTGGCGCAATCACCCTGTGGTTGACTGGTGGTAGCACTCATCACAGTACGCATCAATTTCCTCTATTTTCCATCTGCGTTCAACAACCTTGAAATGACATCACGGTAGTGCTTGTTTTTCTTCAATTCAATTCCATCAAACAAAATACGATGCGACACGAACTCATTCTACAGCTCAACAAGAGTCTCAGTATCGTGGGAAGATTACATTGACCTTGCAGGATTTTTTTTCGTTTATGGCGTACAACTACTAGCGGTGGTGTTTGGATATGACGGGTATTAATCGTRGGAAGAATTGGGAGAGTCTGATTTTACTATATTTGAACAAAACCACACTAGTTTAGTATCCAGATGCAGCGAGAACTTCATTGACCTTCGCAAGTTCACCTGCACAGGCCTCCTCTGCTTGTCTTCGGAGAGCTGCCTTGGCCTTTTTGGCTTCGTAGAATTCCTTGGCATCTGCCTTTCTCTTAGCTTCCAAGCGTCCCAAAAGTTCCTTGTGCTTCCATCCGACGGAATCGGCAAGAACTCCAATAACGGTGTAKTTTCTTCCCTGCTTGAGGCGCATGGATCGGAGGGCAGCGGGAACGACCACTCGCTTTTGCTTGTCGTAAGGGGCAGGGATTCCATCAAAGGTGGAAAGACGCGCAAGAGCGGCTTGTCCCCGTGCGGTCTTCTGGTGGACCATACCACGAATTGTGCGCCAGACCATCATGGCAGGGGCCTTGTAATGGTAAGGACCCTTGCGAGGGTTCGTGTTCATGGCCTTGTTTCGGAATTGGGCATACTTGACTCGGTTTCTAACCACTGTTAAATTCGAATCATTGCGRATAACGTCGCAAASGAGTCCAGTGACAATGCATCGAAAAATAAATTACTTGTGAGTACATCAATAGAACATCCGACTAAAACAATTGTTGACAGCATAACAAAAGAACCAAAGACGGTCTGTATCCGTCAGCCGTTCGGTCTCCTTTCACTCACGGGATCCAGAGATGCACATCTCGTCGCATCGGACGATAACAATCTTCTGTCCAGCGAGAAGTTCCTTGGCGACTACACTAGCCAAGCGACCAAGGAGGTGGTCACGACCGTCGATGACTTTTACATTGGAGAGCACCATGGTTCCTTCCTTTTTCTTAATTACTAGCAGCAAGAGTGRTAAGCGGGTTTGATGTTGGACAACCTGGAAGAGTCCTCTGAGATTGGAAAGAGTAAGCAMGAAAACTTGGCCGCGCATGGAGCGWATTAGTAATTAGTAACAAGAGATCCAGTAAAAGGAAAAACTATTGCAGTTCTTCTGATTAAACCCTTCAGTAAAATGTCATGAACAACTAAGGTGTCGTACGGTACGTAGGTTAATACGGTACGTACGGTACCGCAGCGCTAAAATAACCCCTCCTGCACCATAGAACATACGTAACAGTCCAGAGTTACTGTAGACCCCTGATTGAAGTATCGTACCGTACGGTTTTGTACCTGTACAAATTTAACACAAAAAACTGCTTTGACCCTAGCCTACGCTACGGTAGAGGCCCGAAGGACTCAAACGTACTGATACATTTTACAAAAGCTATCAAAAATAAGGAGAAAGATTATTCACGAGCTATTCGGGAGTCATTGTCATCACAATTAATCTTCGGTCATCTCCTTCTAATTTCAATCCTCCAAAATCCCCATGATATCAAAAMCTTTTTCTTTTTCCAGTCACCTAAGGAGCTATATGACAGAAACATGTTCGAAGAGGATAGGATGGAATAAGCAACACATCTAATGTTTCGCCGTTCAACGGGATTAGCCAGGAAGTACGGATTTCGGTGGGAATGCCAAGATGTGAGGATCAGAAGTATCATTCCTCCTAATTATTCCGGTTCGCGACAACTTTCTCTCGATGCCCTTTCCATTTCTCTATCGAGATGGAATGCGAGATTTCCCTAYAGGTATAAAAATTTGGTGATCAACAAATATTCTCAGTCGTCTATTTGCCGATGCATATCCGGCGACCTTACGTCGAATACTTCCGCTGGGAACAATCCACCTTCACCCACGTTCATAAAAAAGGGCAGGAAACAACAACACCATTCCTTGCGATCGTATCAAAGGAAAGCAAATTCGTTTMTGCATCAAGTAAGAAAAGGYCGGATACAACCTACCCTTGTGGCACAAAAAGTCGAAGAGCTATTGCTACTTTCTCTTTCGGAATACGACGATAATCTTCCTTCCGACGGTCCCTTGGCTCTGGAGCTGTTGAACATTTCATTGCGGTACGCTAAAATTGTTGCGGGAGAAGAAAATGGTTGCGAGAGGCTGTTGCCTCGATTATTTTCTTTAGCATGCCAGATTGCGTTGCGTAGTGGGCATAGCCGCGCTACAAACGATGTTCATCGCCAACTCTGGAAGCTTCTTGATGGTCACAAACGCTATTTTGTTRCTAATGATACYCTCTACAATACCCATCACGTGAACGATGTTTGTAGCTTTTATATCCGTTTCATTGTTAAGGATGCAAATAAACGGAGAAGGAAATTGAGTCATCGAAAGGCCCGGCAACTGCATCGACTCATCGAACGTCTGGGAGAACTCCAACGCGATCCTCTGGTTCCAGTAGAGTCAAATCCGTACATCGATGATTCCTTAATTATGTTGCTTTGCAATCAACTCAAGCCCAGAGATGCCCACGAAATATTGTGCAAAAGGCTGGAAGAAAAATCCTCGCAGGCAGCTTTGGTTTCTAGTTTTATCACGATCATAAATGGATACGCAAAGACTTTTCAACCAGATAAAGCTTTGTCCGTCGTGGAGTGGATGATGTCGGCACAAGAGGAATCGAAGATTGGTTTTCCAATTTCATCAACGAAGGCGACGAAAACGAAGAAAATTTTTGTCACCCCCCCTCCCAACACGAGTTGTTTCAATGGATTGCTCCATGCCTACGCAATGGCTGGTGGAAAGGATGCAGGTTTCAAGGCAGAGAAAACGCTCGAGTGGATGCAAGAAATAAGCGAAACCAAAGGCTTTGACACAATGCCAAACGAGACCACTTACAATATATGCATTAACGCTTGGGCACGTTCGAAACATAGGGATGCCCCTATTCGGGCCGAAAATATTTTGCGAAGAATTGTGACTTTGAGCGAGGGCGGCAGTCCAATCGAACCAACAGAGGAAGCATTCACAGCTGTTATGAATACATGGGTCAACAGCAGCAGCAATCWTGGCAACAAGCGCAAGCAAGTAAAGGAGGCAACACAGCGCGTGGTTGGAATATTAGATCTCATGGAGCATATTTCGGGTAACAGCGAAAAGATACCAATGTCTGTCATTCCGTATACAATACTGATCAAAGCTTGGGAAAAGGTAGCGCAGCATAGTAGTGGAATAGAAAAGCAGGAATGTGGAGATGAGATCCTCCTGGTTATGGAACGAATGCGAGCAAATGGAATAGATCCTACAACTGAAGTATACAATTCCATACTGACGGCCCTTACAGAGGCAGCGGCCATCAACTCGGTTCTCTACTTTTTGAAGTTAGAACAAGAATATAGTTATGGGCATGTACATCTAGATACAAGGACATTTAATTGCGGATTGAATGCTATTGCCGCTTTGAATAGACCAGATGCTGTGAAGAGAGCAACCGATGTATTGAGGAGAATGTTTGAGTACCACGAAACCGACYCTACTATCCTTCCGTCGAACTTGACGTTCAACATCATCTTGAAAATCCTCTCTAGGAGCACAAGCCACATTCCAGATGCCGCTGCTAAAGCAGACGATTTGCTGTCTGAAATGGATGCTATGCCATCGCTAACACCAGATTTCATTAGTTACGTTACATGTATTATTGCTTGGGGTCGTAGCGATGAACAAAATAAAATGAAAAGGGTTGCCAACTTATTGCATCGCTTCATTTCATCAATTGAGGGTGATCAAGATGAAACCAACAGAAAAYCTGGAATTGCTGTCTTCAACGCGGTCCTTTCGGTGTGTCACCACAACTCGTCGCCAGAATATATCGACGAATCATTGCACACGGCTCAAGTAACAATGAACGAGCTGCGCAACGTGCAAGGAATTACTTCTGACCAGATAACATACTCCTACCTTTTTCAGGTCATGAAAGAGAAACTTCCGAGGGATCTTTCTCCTGAATCTTCATTTATCGCGCTCGTCGAAGAAGAATTCATTCACTGCGTCAGAGAAGGATTCATCACGCGTGAAATTGTGATTGCTCTGCACCACATCGTACCAGATTCACTTTTTGCAAAACTTGTAGGAAAAATCAAGGACCCAAGATCCTTTGTGATCCCCAAGGCTTGGTGTCGAAATGCGAGTCGGCACTAGAAGGAAATGTTTGTCTCTTGCCGCTTTTTTCATCGACGAATTGCAAGCAACATTCAATCGTCRTTCTAACATTTAGTCAAGCTGCTAGTACAATCGCTTTTTCTATTTTTRGCAYCAGTCTCGTCAACAGATTCKTTGTCGGAATGATGATCCCTCTTCCTCTTCTTTCCGTCAGAACCGGGGCAAACTATGGCGTTCACTCTGGCCATCATTTCTGCGTGATTGGAAATCGTGATCCATTCAATGTTGTTCTTGGATGCTGCCTCTTGGATTTTCTGATTGGGGCCGTATCTTGTCACAATTTTGCGGATTCCAGCTACTGTCAATGCCCCGAAACAGTTCTTGCACGGAGGCATCGTAATGTAGGCAGTTGCATTTTCCGTCGACACGCCATTCCGAGATGCCTCGCCAAGGGCAGCAATTTCGGCATGAACATCCGAAGTAGTCTCACTGAAAAGAGGCCGATTGTTAGCGACGCTGATAATGGCGCCGCACATGTCACCTGCCAATTCTGTCTCGGTTGCTGCTGTTGCTGGCATTGGTTCTTCTCTCTGAGTGGTGGCTTCTTTCACGAGTATGCATGCCATGCTTCCCTGTTTCAGTTTCGAGCTTCTGGTGATGATCATGCACAAATCCATAAAATTTTCGTCTTTGCAAAGACTTTTGCTCGGCTGCCACCCATGCAACTCGTACCCCTTTACCAGTGTACTCGTACTCATTCTTGTCCTATCGGTAGAATCAGGGTTTTAGCTCGATCAAAGAAGACAGAAAAAAATTGTGGTGATGGCAGTTCTGAACGAGGAAGAGTGATCGGATGCACCTATTTTACTCTGAACTAAGTACGGTACAGTACGGTACCGTACGGTATGAAGGAACGATGCGACGTTCTTCCAATGTGGACCCTCAACCCGAAAACCCTCAACCCTTGGAGAGAAGTCAAGAAGAACTTTGTCCCATCCGACTCACTCGAATGCTCTTCGACCTTGCAGGCTCGCTTCAAAACCTAGAAACAACACAACCACTTCAYGTCACTGAAAATCAACTTCGATACGATCACGACGGAACCGCGACARAATAAAAATGAAGTGATCCGAGATTGCACGCTTCTACTGTTGTATTCAGATGAATCTCGAACAGAAGAAGCACTTCTACGCAACACTCTTTTGCAAGTGACTGCACAATGCCTTTCTCTTTTTGACCCAATAACTTAACCCAATTTTACGTCTACTATGTCTTATTCGTCAGCCTCCTCCGTTTCCACTACTTGCTCGATCGCGACCAATGGAGACTCTAGGCAACCATTGCGCAACTCCGCCGCCGGAGTTGCTCGTCGRTGGTTTCCGTTGACCTGCAACAAGTGCCAGCAGCCTGTGGATTCGACTGTGTTTGTTTGTTCGTGCAAATGCATGTTTTGCGAGGACTGCACCTACAGCCATTTCCATTCTAGCCCCAATTGCCCGGGCTGCGGGACCGTGCTTGGTGAAAACGACTTCACGGAGGTAGCAATTTCCGATCCTAGTAGCACTCTGGCGAACAATCCCGATCAAGTGTTGCAGAACTTACTCACGAAGGCGTCCAACCAGCCCGGTTCTCCGATCACTTGGAACGACGTGTGCGCCGCCACCATCCGAGAGCAAGATGCCCTCCTTTCCAACGTGAGGTTTTTCGTGAATCAGTTTGTTCGAGAAACGCAGAGAAGTGTGCAGGAAGGAAAAAGAGCAAAAGCTGAGATTCAGGCCTATCGAAAACAACTAGTGGCCATCAAAGATGACGTCACCTCTCTCAAGAGACAATTGGAAGAAAACGCAGAGAGGATACACCTCAAGGACCGACAGCTCGCCTCCAAAGACCGTCAAATCCAACAGCTGAAAAGCGTACTAGCTCGCAGCACAAACAATGGCACCGGAAACAWCTCGACGGGATGGAAGCAAYCGCMGAGTCTGGGATCTGTTCTAYCGTCGGTAGGYATTCCAAAATCTGCTTCATCGTCCAATCGCCGTGCTTCGGGGATTCGCCACCCGACGCCGGCTGGGTTTGGCAACTATGTCCGCAAGAAGGAAGCTCGAGAACTGGAACAAGAACGAGATCTGATGAACCTCACACGCAAAACAAACCCGATGATGAGCTACAGCGGTCGATAGCTATCAACGTCATTTYYTCAATTTTGAATTCTGCTAGARCTAGCAAGCTAGCTATTCGAAAAMTGATTTGAGAGCTATTCAGACTTATTTCARATCACGGTCAAGCAAGGCCAACGAAAYATTGCAGTTTCGGATCATAGTTCTATTGAATACATTTAATGTGCGAACCAATCTGTTATATGAATCTGCCTTAACAGAGACATGCCGAGATRAAACTAATTTTTATGTTTTGTCTTCGTCAGTCGAGGATTTCTCCCTAATTGGCGACAAACTGAAATTCGTCGTTATTTATGAACGTACTGGATGCAAACTTTCAGGTTGCGATTTATATGSAAAGYCATCCGTTTCTTTTCTGTTATAGCCAGATTACGCATTGCTGTGCACTGTAGTCTTCGCAGGTGTAAGAAAGTTGCAATCTCCGTTGTTCTTGATGTTCGAATTCTTGAGAACTTTCAACCTATAATCCTGTACGCCTCCATTTTCAAGATGACCACCGTAATACATAATGCTTCTCTGGTTTGGTACTTCGTAATTTATGTCAAGTTTATACGAAAGAGCATTGCAAAACTGGTGGAGTTCTCCACGATCTCTGTAGACACGGTTGGAGACTTGCCAGGGGTGTATCGAACGAACCGAAAGCCTGTATACAACTTCTTCCCTATTGGCGTCGACATTCTCGCATCTGAAGAAAAAGAGTGCATCCCAAGTATTACGATTGTCGCGGACGTATTGTTCCACTCCTTCTCTGAACTTCTCCATTGTCTTGCTGTCTTTATGGCATGACAAATGAAAATGCAATAGTATACTCACTGTTGCTTTCTCGGAACGGTTGCAATTGGTAATCCTGGCGCTAGCTATCGAGCTATTTGAAACTTGAGCGATTTCATTGGTCGCGCCGAACCGCAACGTTGTGCTGAGCACAGAAATGTCTACAAACAAAAAAAGGACAATGAGGACGGAAAAGCAAAACAAACTGATGGGAGAGATAACTTCACTTGCCTTCAACAATCCAAGACATTGTCATCTCGGGTGCATCAGCACCGGCAGAATCTTGAATCACTATTCTGTCACCAATCGCTAAATTAAATGAATTGAAAAAAGTGCAAAACTCCCAGTGATGAGCGATTTGGAGTAATGGTTGAATTCTTAGTAATAATTCTATTTTTGTCGATACTAACGTACCATACGGTCTTGTGGAAACGAAATGATGAAAACGATCCGTTCAAAAGCATATCAGCATCTGTCACCTTCATGGGAAAATTAAATGCAGCTTGTTGTAGAAGCAAGATGAGAAGAAAAGTCCACTTACCTTCTCCCGACAATCAGCATGATGCCCTGAAAAAGTATCCATGAGTTTCGTTGTGAGATTTTCTTTCAGATGAAAGCATTTTCCATTTCAAACCAAAAATCTTACGTACCTCAAAAGCTTTTGCACAGGTTGACCCAAATGCAAAAGATCCGGCCAAGAGCAATGACGATAATGGTACCAGCATTGACATTGGATTGAATTCTAGTATCATTAGAAGGATCGTCACAAGAAGAAAATAGAAAACAGGATTGATGATCGATTTCAACACAGAGTCGATCACACTTGAGTTGCCAACTGAAGCTCGGAAAAAACGCAATTTTCGATACACCGTATCACAAGCTTGAACAAAAGAGAGAAGATCAATGGCCCCATCTGGATCTGGGTGGAACGTATTTACAAGCTTCTTTTTCTTAATCTCGTCTTCACTCCCGTCTTCTTGAATCAATAAAAACTCAAACGCCGAAAAGTTGAGGACAACAGAATCTGGGGAAAGCATCTTCAACCGTTTGTAAACCAATTCAGCGGAACTAATCATTTCATTTCGTGTAGATGCTAGCCCAAAAGATTCGTTAAACGGATAATCGAGATCCATGTAATGAAGGGCATCACTGAATCTAAGTATATCAGCTGTGAATAAATCTTGTGACTGAGAGCGAGAAAAATAAACAAGTATTAGATAACGATATCAGTTGAAAAACGCCAAATTGAATAAAAACTTGGTACTGACTTTTAAGCCCTTGTTAATTGGCTCTTCCCATTTGTCTAGGAGACTTTTCATCGCAAATCGAGTGCTTGAACCATAAAACTTCTGGCCCTGGAGTGTTTGGGTAGGTTTACCCTGATTGTAAAATTCTGTTTCTATTTTTTTCGACCTTCCGTCTTGACTTGGAGTCTCGCCTTGCGATGCCATCTCGTTGGTTAAAGAATCTTCGTCACTTAAATCTTCTTCATCAAACTGAATATCAGACCAACGAATCACGCTAAATTCTCGTCCTTTTCGAGAATTATCTCTTGATTCTGGAGCATTACTGTTTCCCAGATCGATTCCAACTATGTCGGCGATATTATCCGATACCATCGACAAGTCTGCGACTTCTGAAATTACTAGAACATCATCAACTATGTCCTGCAATTTTCGTTTGTATGTAGCTTTTTTGGTGAAAAATCAATGTGAGGATACCACCAATTGGTCAATTCTTTTCTATTCTTTGAGTCTGTTTGCCTTCACTTACCAACCATTCGTCGTCCGAAATAGAGTGTTAAGACTGTTTCTTTTAGACTCCGAGCTATACCAGCTATTATCATGCAAAACAAGATACGCAGGTAGTAATKCGAACTTAAAATGTAGGCACCTGAATTTTGTTTGGAAAAAATTTGAAGACCCGTGAAGTAAAACCAATGCTGTTTAAATCTGCTATTTCCTTCGAGAAAGATCAAATCCCAGAAACCCCATGCGGAAAGAACGAAGGGCCATCCCCGGGATTGATGAAAATACACGGTCACCCATGGGCCCATAAGCTTCGAAAATCCCTTTTTCCTACGAATCAGGCCATCGACTAGGATGGCTTGAGAAAACCTTGAAAGTTCAAGCATGACTAGTTGGCGACCTGCACCAAGGTATCAAAGGCAAGTTAGTTCAATTTATAATATCCGAAACGACGAATCCAAATGAACCGAAGGCGTACATCACTTCTTGCTTACCAGCAAAGTCAAACCACCATGAGAAGCAAACATCTCCAGGAATGTAATTTGGTGTGGAAGGATTCCCGAAGAAGTAAAACAAGACGAAGGAAATGGCGAAGAATGGAATCGCTATCAATAGTGTTGAGCGGATGAACCAATCGTAGAGGTGTTGTAAAACAGTAACGGGATTCAGGAATTCTTTCCATGCTTTCCATTCATTTTTCTTCAGCAGTTTGCGGGCTCTCCACTTCCGCTCCGACAAGTCTTTGTCATTATTCAGGAGTGGCAATCCTTCGTCGGGATATCCTTCGTAGTCCTCACTGTTCGGGATGCTTTCATCACTGGAACTCTCGGGAAAACTGATTGTGGATGCGTTGTCGTCGAACTTTCCATTACCGTGCCGTCTGCTTACTTCGAACCTGAATGGATCGCCGTCGCGAAGAGTTTCCGCTTTGAATGAATAGTCGGATTTCTGTTTGCCCAAATCCCTAAGAAGCGTCCTAGCTTTTTGGTTCCTTCCTTGGAACACACCATTGGCTGATTTTCCTTTCAGGGGATTTTGGAAAGCCTTGACGACGGGTTCAGATGACCGTCTCGATGATCCTCGGGATCGAAACGAATTCTGCATTCCGATAGAAGACCCCCGCCCTTGCATATAATCCTGTAAAATTGCGACAGAATGTCTATTCGACCTCTGCGATTGAACCGAATTCCGGTTACTTACGAGAGAATTTGTCGACGGCGGTCGCGATCGAAACGAATTATTCGACACACCGAGACTCTGCATCCTAAGGAGCGGGCGTTCTCCTCTCACGGCAGGACGAAAGCCGTCCTCCCCAACCTGCGTGTCCTTGGCGCGTTGCTCCACACTCGTAAGGACCGCACCTTCCGCCTCGTCCTCGTAGATCATATCCGGAAGGAGAGCATTGGACCTTGAAGCGAAGTTTGCGGAAAATTCACAACTGATTTCCACATCAGGATGTATATCCGATGCCGTGCTCATCGTTGACACTGAGCTGCTGCTGCTCCGAGGCAGATTGTGTGCCCCTTCCATCGCAGGCCAGAAATTTGATTTCTTTCTGCTTTTCTATTCTATCCCTCAGTGGGACGCAACGCTCGAACCACAGACCGAGTGACAATTTTTGGAGTTTGCTGGAAGAAAGATCCAGTCGTACCTGTACCGGTACGTACTTGTTCTCGGTCTAATTGTGCTTAACAATTCAGCACCGTACGTACAACTGGTAAGGGAAAAAATTGTACCGGTGCAAAACCATGCCGTGTTCAAAATTACCGCCGAAAGAAGAACAAATGCAACATTGTATTTTTGCGCGAGCCACAAGTACAAAACAACAGTTCAGAATTCAGAGCGAAATCCGAAAATCCGGCAATGTGTACGTAGCATTTGCTTCCGGAAGTAAGTATGAGTGCGTTATAAGACTATCGATTTCTAACAGGTTATGAGTACATAAAACGCGCCAGTTTTTGGCTAACTTTGCTTGCTTCTTAACTCCAGCAAAAGCACCAATCAGAATTAGAGAATCCGTCAGTCGGAAAGGTTTTCCCTCCTCTTTCCTTGCGTATGTTTCCTGTCAGAGAACCTTTTCGGGCTTGTTGATTTCTGAGCGCACGGAATTTTCCAAAAAACTCATTAAAACAACCTCCAAGAAGGCAAGCTGTCACTCCTCCAGAACTTTATCAATATCCAACCAATCGCGCTCACAAGACAAGTGTTACAATCCTTACATCAAGGGGAAGGGGATCGTGAAGTATCGTCGCGATCGACTGAGTAGTTTTGGAGCAACAGGATACCAAAGCTACAGCGAAAATATCATCGAAAAACAGCAACGACGAACTCCACAGGGAGTGAAAGGCTTAGTTGATACTGATCCTGCCTGTAGTTGGTGAAGTTGCTGAAGTGTAATTTATGTTAAGAGAAATCTGTTCTTGGAATCGATTTTGATTTTGATTTTATTCCACGCAAATAAGCAGTGGCCGGACGTCGATTTCGATTCACAGACCTGAATTCTGAGAGGAAAAAAGCTCGGAGCTCGGAAGAAGCTCGGAGCTACGAAATAAGAGTGAAGCCCAGTAGTTAGCGCCTTAAAGAGCACTCCAGTAGTAAGCGCCTTAGAGAGCACTCCAGTAGTAAGTGAATTATGTTAAGAGAAATCTGTTCTTGGAATCGATTCTGATTTCGATTGTATTCCATGTTAATAACTAGTCTCCGGAAATCAATTTCGTTTCGCGGAGCTGAATTCTGGGAAGAAAAAAGTGAGCAAAAAGCTCCAAAAATAGGAAATAATTCCATATAAAATAGTTCCTTTTTGGTTCCAGGTGGAACTAAGTGACAGCTTGAGGTGCAGGGTGTAAAATAAGACTATTGTTCCACACATAGAGTCCTGTAGAATCCCTACCGTTAAAAAGCTGTCACGTCTTACAACGCACCAAAACTGGTATGGGAAAATAGCGGCTTAGGATATCCATCTTCCTCTTGTTCAAGGACATTCTTCCTCTTTAAGAACCCAAGACCAGAAACGCTACCAAAATGAAGAATGATGATATTATTATTACTGTATTCAATTACAACCATTGGATAACGTTGAAAATCCTACCTTTGACAAGAGTCGAGTTCAATAGTTACAGTATTCCTACCTACCGAATAGGCTTGTATCATGGGTTCGATTCCCCATGTTTGTCGAATAGAATAGAATGGGTTGGAATCCTTTGATGGAGGCAATGATTCAAATGAGTCAATTCATGCAGTCTGCCATTTGTCCGTTAAAAATCAATCATCTCAAAACTTATTTTAAAAAAAAATATTTTTGAAAACATGTAAAAAAAAACTGTCTGAAACATGGCTTTGGAATCCATCATCAGATCAGGCAGCAAAACCTTCACCGTACCGTACCGTACGAGTCAGTACCAGTATTCGAGTAACGTGAGTGAGGGCAAGAACGCAACAACCAGCCGTTCTTTGCACAAGCACGAGTACGAGTACAGCTGCGATTCTACTATCCAGACCAGCATTCGCAATTGTAAAGAATCAGACCCATTGCTTACCGTGCCGCATAGGAACTGAACATTTTGGGTTAAATTGAGCGTCAGCTGTATCTTCCGCTCCTGCTGACATCGCATTCAATATGCCTCGCCTTAGTGCAACCAGCTCGATGCCGTTCGGATCGTCTTCGATCGTGCCTTTMGTTGCGAGTCCCCAGGGAACATCATTGTATGGACAAACGAATAACAATGATTGTGAAACCGCCTTTTGCTCCTCGTCATCCTCCGTTAGGTTGTCTTGTTCGAGTCCAGGTGGAAGGTCTGTTCATTCACTCTCTGTGTCGTCCTCGGGCGATTGCTACATCGAGACCCACGCACTCCCACTTGCAGGGACAGTAGAGTCCGAGGTCGGCCACGATCTCCACGATCGAAACAAGAAGAACGCATGCATTATCCGCACACGACTGTCCGAGAGAGTCTCTTCCGCACTCTCTCGATATCCTCCGATAGAGCTGCTTTGCGTCGATGCGCTTTCTCCTTCTTCGAATTCTTCGTCGGCACCTTCCGAACTGGGCAACAGAAACGCAAGAGCGCTGGTCTATCTGCCATTGCTCTGTTTGTACACAAAGAAGGATGTCTTCCACATAAAGATTTCCTACGAGGCCACCGGAGCCACGGAGGTAGAGGGGGTGGCATCCGATGTTTTCGAACCATTTGAAGATTTTCTTATTGGAAACGGGGCCACCAACGTTTTACGGATCCGACAGGCACCGCAAAAATTCAATGGTTACGCGACTCTTTGCCCCGCGGGAGCGATGGCAATGCTGACACAAAATCCCTCGACCGGGGAATATTGTCTCTGCGCCTATCATGGTAACGGAGGATCGTCGTCATCGATGGCACCGAAAGGCAACGCGGCGTTCACTTCTCATTACTTCCGAATGGAAGAGCTGGCAGATCCCAACGAAAAAGTGGTTGACTTTTGTTTCTGCCAATCGACTGGATTGCCTCTGTTGTCATCTCTCACGGTGGCCTTTATGAAGTTATCGGGTGAAGTACTCTTTGCGACGCCCATTGTTTTCCGTGGCACCATTGTCCCAAGCCAAACCGTGACCAAAACCTTGGAGTTCCTAGAGAGCTCACTCGAGGAATGTACCCCCAGCACTGCAACATGGAGGCAATTTCGCGCAGCGAAACGTTTCCTCGACGACGCCTTTCCCCGGCACGGAAGAGCCAATTTTGTCACCCTCGGTCAGGTCGCGACTGCGAATGGCAGCAAACGATCAAAACCACCATCGGAGGTCTTCAATTGGCCGGTCCAACTGCAGGGTCCGATCTTGTTGCCACCAGAGCTCGAAGAGTACGCTTTCGAAGGTTCGGCAGCGAAAATTGAGCCCTTCGCMACAGAAGGCGACCTTGTCGGGTTCAGCATAGGGTACACCGAAGGAATGGTAGACTTTGCCGTTGTGTCACCTTCGTCGTTCGTCCCTCGATTTAAATTTGAGAGCCCAAACGATTCTTACGATCTGGATCAAGAATTGACAATCGGTCAAACAGTCAATCGTGTTGATTTGGCCTCGAGTTCCTACGGTGGTGAGAACGACACGATCAAGGACATCCAATTGATCCCTGATCCTATAATGGACGATATGATTCATTACATGACGCCAAATCAAATCATCAGTATTTCTACAAATACTACCAGAATTGCATCGAAAAAGGCGCGTGAACATGGATCGCACGGAGGCAATAGAGGCATGTTTTCTCCTCCATCGAGAAGAAGTGAGTCCCGACCGAAGACAACAGCTTGGAATTCTTTGGATGCAAATTTCATCAAAGGCGGACAAAATCCGATAGTAGGAGCTGTGATCAGTGATGACGTTCAACTCGGGCATGTCTTGGTAGTCCGTCTTTTCGATGGAGAAATGATGGCGATCAACCTGACAGAAACACGGCATCTTTGTGATTTGGAGAACTTCGCAGCAGCACCCGAGAAAGTCCTGGCCATAGAAGATGGTTCCACTGCTGCCATGTCAGACGCAGAACAGCAAGCACTGGCTGTTCTTGAGCAGACACGACCACTGACTGATGTCGTGCAACCACTCGTCAAAGATGTTATCAAGGGAGTCACGGCGCTGGCACAAGTTGGTGGAAGTGCCACTGCACAATCAGATGTTACCCCCGCTGTTCTTGCTGCTGTTGTTGGTATCGAAAGCAAGTGTAAAAAAGATATATATCTCCCGCTGATGACCATGAACGAGCATGTATCTGCTCGGAAAGCCCAATTCAAAGTAGTAATCGCGAAACAAAAACTGCAGCTCCATGCGCTCAAAGAAATGGTTGCCAACCTTCGAGAAAGACAGACTATCGTAAGAGAGAAGACAGACATTATGCTCCAAAATTCGAAATGTCTAGTGGATCGTAGTGCATCGGTGTTGCAGTCATCGAAAGACCTTCTCCCTACCATTACACAAGCAGAATTCGACTACTTTCAAGAAATCAAACGATTAGACGAGAAGTCGGCAATGTGGAAAAACGAAGCCGAGAGACTTTCGAGGAAGATCACAAGCCTGCACGATTCGACCGACGATGCTACAACGTATCTACTAAACCTTTCCCCCGAGGATCAGCAAAATGCGGGACAACTTTTGAATGTGTGTGCTGTGCTACTCAAGCGATACGAGGACAAGTTGGCCATGGATGAAGAAAAATTAGAGGAGTGCGCACAGGATGCTGGCATTTTGCAGGATGCGTAACCATAGAACGGTCCAAGTATTTTTTCGATCGGTTGAAAGCGATGATTCCAGAGCGTGCCGACGATAGATATGATGAGACTCTGATAGGGATCAATGGGCAATTTTTAGAATTCATCCTCACAAACTACCAAAAAAGTCACTGCTTAAAAAATATATTCAAGCATCTCTTTTATCATGCTTTGAGTAAGCTTTAGAAAATGTCCAAGGGGACCAAATATTGTCGGAATTCCCCGTCCTGTAGTTCTACTTGAAAGTACACTCCTCTGTAGGTCCCATCGTAGGATTCTAGAAGGGCATCTCCTGGTTTCCATAGAGCATCAAATCCCAATCCACTTTTTCGAATGTCAGCAAATGTGTACACCCCTCCAGAGTTGTATTTGATATACACACTGCCGCTGAGATCGATTGGAACCCCATCCTTGTCCATCCCGTGAAGAAGACCCCTAGGTAATTCTAAGGCCGTGACCCATGCTTTCAATGCAGCAACCCCATCCTCTGCGGAAGGAGCACAGATGCCTAGCATGCAGCGCCCCATTACGGAATCCCGGTTGCGTTCTTCGGTGGCAGCAGCCGACAGCAGAAGAACGGAGGCCTTCAGCGCATCGCGGCTACTCGTCAGAATTTCGTTGGCTTCTGTATCTTGCTTTTGTCCCTGGGATTCCGGGTTGAAGATTTTGTCCCACTCCGAAAGTATTCGCGTGGCCTCCTCCACTGAATCCACTGAAGGCGATGTTGCTGCATCGGGTTGACTCGACGAGAATACCTTCGTTGCCAGTGGACTCGTTTGAAGCGCGACTCGTTGATGGACCGGTGTAAACGAATGYGCCGTTGCGACAAAAACCAGGCATGTTATTAGTTGCAAAATACCGAAAGAATCCTTTCGCTTCACTGAAGGTTGTCGAATCACTTTGACTGTCGTCATCGGATCGGAAGCTTTGGTATGGTTCAGGAATGTGTGGATAGGGGAAATATTAGATTATTGGTGACCCTTTCAATGTCGGTCAAGAAAGCTTTACTATTTTCATCACTGACAAGAGAAAATTCGAAATGCGATGAACCGTCAAAAATGGTTCGACGCTTGATGCTAACAACAATGTGCAGGCTGTTCCCTGTTGCAGGTGATGTGTCTTCGACGATACTCGTACCTACCGCTACATGTACTACGGTACATGTATTAGCAGGATTAAGTAGTACGTACTCGTACGGAAGTAGTAGCAGCAAGAGTACGTACCGGTACTACCCACGGCTTCTTCAATTCGTTCGAATTTCGTTCTATTCCATAATCCATAAGAGCGCCAGGCCAGTACAGGTTGGTACGTAGCCAGTAATGGTTGGAAAGACTACTTGTACCGTACGTACGTAATGGATAGGTTCGCTACGGATTTTATGTTGATKATGATTCATTCGCTGTTGAAGTTTTCAGTCACGGAAAACGAGTCCTACACGTAACGCAGTAGTGCTGTTAAGTTTTCAAATAAGATTTAGGGGCGGCGAGAATAGAAAGAGGGAGGGATTTACTACATTTATGTTTCATCTTTTACTGTACGAACCGTACCGTACGGTACCAGGTAGCCTGTTTGTTCTTTTGACGACGACATAGTACTGGTACCTGTAAACTTGTACGTTACTTGTACAGAAGGTAGTACGTCGGAACATCACCGTTCACCGAACTAGTTTGCCGTACCGTACCGTACGTACACACCGTACTGAGTAAATTTCTCATTTGGTCGGCGGGCTCGCATACCGTTGTTAAGCGGTAAAGTGTTTTCTAATTTTAATCTCGTTTCTTTCGAGACCAACCGGGGCCCGAAACGAAACCCTTCACCATCGTCCAATGCTCCCTCCGGTTATTCCGTTCGGAAAACCGACCTTCTGGTGCCAGTATCCAATCCATCGTCGAAATTATCTGAAGGTGTAGTAACAATAGTCTGCAAAGATAAWAAACCAATATGACGTATCGCGCTCGAGGTAGATCACTGATAGAAGTCGTTCTGGTAAGACTGTTGTTTGCGGATTTTTTTTGATGCGTAACACACGCCTATGCACCGTGGTCGTTCTTCGTTGTGCTGGGTTCGGTTGCGTTCCATCGGTCGTGGTCACGGCCGTGTCTAATGAATACTTCGCTCTTTATTTGCTCTCCGAATAATTCACCACACAACAGGCAGTATGTTTTGTGGTATTCCTAGTGGGTTTCATAACCGTTCTATGCATTGGTAATTACTTCCGAGCGAAACGAGCGCAGGAACGACAGAGGCAGCGGCGCCTTGCGAAGCTTGCGGCGTCAAACAATGCAGCGGCGGCTCAGGGAATGTATGCAACGGATGCCAATTATTCAGCATCGTACGAAGCCCCGGCACACGTGGCGGGAGGTGGTGGTGTTCAGGCATAAGGCAATGCAAACTTAACGGCCTATCTTTCAAACAAACAATAGGAGCGAGCAGGACTTGAACCATTTCGTCGTTGCCGTCAGTATTCTGTTTCTCTGAATAGACAGAGAAACCAATTGCAATCCGGGGATCGCGATTCTACATAGTAATTCGGCAACTTTTCGTAAGACGGAAAGAATGTTCTCCCTACTCCATACACAATAATGTATATTAGTTCTGAACTTTACCCATCAATTTGAGAACGTGTGATGAAAGTCTGCTTTATTTCGCGTGTTCCTGCTGGATCATGAGTCAACAGAGAGATAGCTGAATGCCACTGTTTCTACTTCTTCAATTCGTTTGTTGGGGGAATGGTAGACTCGTAGACAATTACGAATCCAAACTTTGATCCGGTACATTTCAAGCAGGACAGACAAACAGTGGTGATCTAATTTATGTCTTCAAGCCCTCCCATTGACCAGTCCAAATACTACGCTAAATATTTATCGTTTTTTGAAATAATATTACAAAGTTTCATCTCTGACCGTAAAGTTTTACGTCCATCACGATGTCAGGTTGATACTGCCTTTCATTATTGCAATAAATATTTTTGAATCTCTGGTATTCTTCGAAAGCTTCTTTTGGAGGAGGAATCGGTCCGGGAGCTCCATTCTCAACGCAAAGAGTCCTAGAGTCGGCTGCTAGTTTGGCATAGCCCAGGGACTGGGGGATCACGATTCTTCGGATTCCACCAGGACGCATCGGGGTCAGAGATTCTCCGTCGCCCAGTATAGCCTGTTCGATACCGGCAATCGTAGAACCATCTCCCAGATTCCATCGATACGGCCTGTCTACATCGGYAGTGCTGTAGATTTTCGTTCCGTAGCGCGCCCCGGTCGTTGACATTACGTAATCGATGGTGGCGGTTGCACCGGGTTTGAGGGGCTGTCCAGTTCCTACCCTCGCGTCTGCCCACTGGATTCCGGATTGTGACGTCTGAAACTTCAAATCCGGGGAAGCCGCACCCGCGATTTTGGTGGAGCTTGCTCCCGCCGTGACGAGGCCAGCAGCCGCCACAGAGGCGGTCTGGGCAAATGCATGTCGACGGGAGATCGAGGGATCTTGGTGGGAGAGACCGAGGCAGTCACTCGCCAAGTAAAGAATGCACGATAGCAACTTTAGGTACCGAATTATAGAACACATCTTGATGTGAATAYCAACTTGCTTCACCTTGCCGAAGTTGATGGTGTAAATTAGAGTGATGTAATAGAGACACGCTAGAACTTTTCGTATCCCTGAAAACTGCCGACTGACTGATTGTGTGGGAAGGCATAAATTTGCTGGTGGTATAATATGCAGCCTACGTCGTGCTCATACAGATCTTTCGTACCAAAAAAAATACTAATCAATTTTCAATTTCTTCATTTTTTTGGTGCGTCGATGAAGTGGCGTAACAACACAATGGACAGTACCCCAAGTACGTACCGGTACAGCAGAAGTGTTTCTTCTGAGGGGGTCTAGAGCAAATTTGAAAAAAGATCCGCCATGTGAAAAATGGAAACTACGAGGTACAATTTTTTTCATTCTGGGACGTTCCGAAACGACTAATTTCCACGTACGCTTAGCTACCAGCTCTCCAACTAGTTTGACTACGGTAGATTGCAGCGCCTCTATGAAAAAAGAGGGGGTCCCGGGAAACAATTTTCATTTAGGTCGGATTTCTCTGGCTTTTTTCTGGTAGATTTAAAGTAAAAACATTGTCGATTTAAGGTAGAAACATAGTCGATAATTGGTAAATATATATTCAACATGTGGTAGCCCTATCAGCACGTGCCATACTGCGGGTCTAGTATAAATTATACATGGGGGGGATCTGGGAAGGCTACCAAAAATCGACTATAAATCAGATATCAATCAGATATCGATCAGATAAAAATCTGATATGTATTCCTTTTCTAGTCGATTTGTAGTCGAATTCTGGTAGCAAAAAAATCGAATTTTGAAGAAATAGTTTCCCGGAACCCCCTCTTTTTTCATAGATTCGTTCGATATCTACTGTAGTCGAACTAGTTGGAGAGCTGGTAGCTAAGCGTACGTGGAAATTAGTCGTTTCGGAACGTCCCTGAAAAAATCCAGTTCTTTTTTACCGTACCGTTGGCAAGGGAGATCAAGTGGTTGATTGGTAGAAAAGCTGACCTTGGTGATGGAGAGGAAGAGTTTTTGGCATGGAAAGGATACCCAAATTGCGAGGATACTGACAACAACAATACTAACAACCTCCTTGGTCAACCATCACAAATTTCACAACTTACTTCTCTCAACTTCCCCCCCCACCCCTGCTGGTTGTCGTTCTTAGTATCTCAAACAAATGCGACTGATAGTAATACATACTGGCAACTGCACACCAGGCCCTCTTCTGATGAAGCATCTGCCACTGTTGGTGCTGGCAGGGAGAGGGAGGAAAGACAGCAAACACAGAACTCACTGGTGGTAATTGCTCAGGCTTACTTTTGTAGGAGCAAAGAAAATGACAGCAACCAATGCAGCAACAACAAGAACTGTGGAATTATAAATTAGCAACAAGAATTACAAATTAGTTTCCTCATGATAAGATTAGGCTCCGCCAAGCAAAAAATACAATCCAATTGTATATTAGCAATTGTGTGCTACATACAGCCCTGTGTAAGCAACCTTACTTGTTATATGATCAATAACGCCCTATGACCCCACATGACTACTATATTTGTGATTAAATTCTCTTTTGATTCATGTGCTTATAATGGTTAAGTGTCCGTTGGGGACCAAGATACAGCTCAAACTTTCAGTTCATGATTAAAACAGTTTTATGTTTAAATAACACGACCTATGSTCTGTGGATAACATGCCATCCATTTTTAAATGTGATTCCRGTCAGATGGGGAAGTTGCTGGGGGGCTGTACTAGTAGTGGAATATATCCATTTACATGTACAAAGAATACAGCATTTTTGTTAGCCAAGCCTATACAATAGGCAAGTATCCTCGCATATTATATAGTACTACTATATAAGTGTACTAGATTTGTACTCCTCCATATGTGTAGGTTCAGTCCCGCATGCTCACAATTGGCTCACAACTGGCCTCCTAGTACTGTGCTTGTTGCAATTATGAAACATTGTGTTATGATCAAACATACTTCTTTGTCTCTGGATTCATATTCCTAGAAGTATGAATTTTCTCAAAGAAAGAATCAATCAACCTGTACCAACAACCATTTTGTAATAAATAATGAAGCATGATTTCTTCTTGGGATTTTCMATCCCTTGGATTTGAATATGTGTCACCTAATTATCTTAAAGTCAGCCATAAACTATAGTAGTACTACTAGTGTGACAGCACTACAGCTTGTTTCATGCGTTACATACCATATGCCAATCGTCGCCCTTCTTGTACACCATCAACTTCAGTTTTGAAAAACTAAAGTATCAGACGTTCTTGGCCCAGTACAGTACGGTGTTCGATGCAACAAAAGGATCATGAAATTATATTATCTCGAAAATGGCGAATCTTGATCAAATCTTTGGCTTTCGATTGACAATTTACTTTGTTGTTCCGTTCAATAAATTGGAGACTATACAACAAGAGTGATGAGAAACTCCTTATCGGACATGTCTTTCGTCTTATAACGAAGTAAGAAGCAGAATTGGATGACGGAAATTATACACAACCATGTCTCCGCCCCATCATGACAGCTTTTAATCGTTCGTAAAACTAATCAATTGTTGTCAATACGATGATGATAAACTCGGGCCCAACTTTCTCATCCAAAAGAGTTTGGGTCGGAAGCCACGTCTGGCAACACGGTTCAATGCCAAAATTCGGGTCGTTGAAAATATAACAAGTTCTGTTCAATGCTAAAGTTGACCGGGTCTTAATTCGCAGTGAAAGCAAGGATCGGTAACCAGAACTCGCCATCGTGCGAGGTGGTCAATTGCACTAATTCAACCGATGCACGATTCGATACGATTTCCCAACGACCGATGAAGAAATGGTCGCGGGGTGCCCATCCGCTTCCATAGTTTCAAACCGAACAGAACCCAATCGATCTTTCGACCGACAGCGTAACATCACTGGGAAATTTAACTCCTCGAGCACCTTGGCCCCTTGAGAGGCTACAAATATCTTGTCAAGTGCGCACTTCGCACTCACCATAAAAGACTCACCCTTGGGCAACATTTCCATTCCCCAAGTGATGCATCGTTTAAAAGAGTCAAATTCTCCGTTGCCTGATGCTATCGTAACCGAATCCTTATCCACAGCACTGGGTATGAATACAACTATTGAGAATTCCGATAAATCATCGGGATTTGATAATTTCGATCTCACTTGTATTGCAACCTTGATTGTGGATTTTGAATGAAGGACTTTCTGTTCCAAGAGCTACACATAAAATTCATGAGAAGGTTTCGCAATCAARCAGAAAGAAATTTAGCAAAAAAATTGAAAAATCTGTAAAAAGCAAACAACAAACAGTGTTGATTCAATACAGTCAATCGTCTCTGAATATTTCTTACCAGTGGCATGTGTTCCATGCTCTGTGCAATTCGATACGTTCCAACATTCACAAATCCGAGAACTTCTTTTGGAATAGTGACAACACTCATATTTTTAAAATTGTTTTCATCCTGTTGTCCAACTCCTTTAGCATATACATTATTTGGTATAAATTCAAAACTTCCATTTTGTTTGCGGGTTTTTGACTCTAGGAGAAATGGAATATTTTTTAGGGCGTCTGAGGAAACAACTTGTGCCTGTTTTCATTTTGAAATTGAGAGGGAAAAGGATTAGGTAACGTTCCGATCCGATCCGAGTCATCTTGAAAACCGTCGAAGAGAGAGAGAGAGACCTTCATTCTGCCAAAAAAAAACTTACCATTAATGTTCCCTGGATTTGAACGTCTGATGCCCCTTCTTGTTCGTTAGACAGATGTGCCGTTGACGAGATTTCTTCATGAACTTGGAAGTTGATCATCAATCTTGGCGGGAGAGCAGAAGACGTATTTGATTTCACCGTCGATCCGTTCTCTGAACGTGTTGATTGGTTATCCGTCGATACAGTAGGATCAGCCGTCAATTTCTTGCTTTGCAACTTTTCCGCACATGCAGCTCCAATCTGAAAAGGGTCAAAGACGCCTTCCTCCGCGTTCCATGCATCAGATTCGTCGAAGACAACATCGTCCTTCACGAAGCTATCGTTGAAATCGTCCATCTCATCCACTACGGTGTTCTTCTGTTACCTATGCGTATACTCCTGTTGTGTGGGTCACTTTCAGGGCTAGCATAAAACCATTCAGCGTTCGCAAAACCGTTCTCGTTGCACAATTTACATAATCTCCATGGATTATGCGGTTTATTTGGAACCCGAAAGGTAATTGCTTCGTGAAGCATTCCTACCAGTGCGCGCAGTAAATAATAACTTTACTTCGTAGCATTTGAAGTGTTGTTGCTCTAGACAAAAAAATACAAGATTCCCGTTACTGTGCCGTACGTACTCGTACTTACAGTAATAAGTAGTTTTTGTTTCAGCTTTGGTGGGACGGGTTAAGTACGAACACCAGTATTAGAAGTAATCTGTAATACGCTACGGTAACTGGTACCACACGAGTAATACCGTACGGTACAGCACAGGAGAAGTTTTTGTTTTCTTCTGCCGTACGTACCGGTACTACGTACCGTTACAGGACGTACGTAAAGTACGGTACGCAACGTTTAGCACCGGACAGGTATCGTACATTAATGATGGCAGGGGTCCTAAATTATGACCCCTGAATGATGGACACTCCCTCCATCCCGTCCCCGAGCGCTACTTGTACTATACGTACGTACGTAGCGTACGTATCCTTTTTCACATGGACGTAAAAAATKTTACGTATTACAGTACGATTGGTATCATACGCAATTACATATTTCTTGATAGTATGATGTGTTGTTAAAAGTTGAAGCCAAAAATATACCGTACGTAGGTACCGTACCACTCAACAGAATCCGAGGCCTTCGTGAATACAAAAATAATTCTGTAAAAATATTACTGTATTGATTTTTTTCGGTCATCACTTCATAGCGGGCACGGGGTACTCGTACCAGAACGAGTATGGTACCTACCGTACCGGTACTTCGCAGAAGTACTGTATTACGCACTTCAGAAATTACAGGAATAGTGCTTGTACGAAGCTAAGAAATGGCGCGACATGATGCGAGATGATGACGACGACAACGAGAAGTTGTGAATCTCAGTTCAGACCAAACACAAGCACAAAATACATACCGCAACGTAACCTCCAACCATACGGTCCAGTTGTCGGACCTTTCTCCTTAATGTGTTCATAAGTTAATGATGAATGCTGCGACAGTATTTAACATCACATCACCTCTCTTTTCATTTCCGCACCGTTGTAAGCCGCCATACGAAGCCGCTTYGCAAAATCTTCTCCATAAGAACCGCATCAAATAGAAAGACTGATCTATTCGAACCATAAGCAGCCGGCGAAACTCAACCTACGCATGATCCAAAAGGAACAACTGGAAGCAATTACCTGACGGGTGAGCCGTCTAGTACCTACTATGAATTTCCCAACAGTGAAACCAGCAAACGAATGGGACGATTCGGAGTACGCATCAGATATAGTATCAGAATTAGAAGAAGATATAAATTATGTTGGCGATGTTAACTTTGTCGGCTCGTTTTCGAAGCATRACGACGAAGAAAACGAGAACGCATCAGGATGGAATGATCCCTGGTCGTCCGATGCTTGGAATGATGTTCCTTGGGAATGCGGCGCAGGGGGCGCCGCTTCAACGACTCCCAATCGTCGGAATCAAAAACTCGTCGATACATCCTTTGAGTCCCTTCAATTTGGTCCTTTGGTGAAAACGACGGGCGAAGAGAAAGAATTTCGGGACTTGGACATTGCAGATGCATTCGGCGAACCTTTTGGGCCTGCGTCTAATCCTTCCATCGCCGCTGCAGACAATCATTCCTCACAAACGACTACGAAACGACTCAACAGCCAAGGATCAAGCCATGGAGATCTACTAAAGGGGTGCATAATCTGCGTCAATATAATTGTGAAGGAGCGTTTGTCGATTGTCTTCGATGATGCTTCGAAAGAGCCCATATGTAGGGTTGTGGGGAGCATATATGTGAAACCAACGAAAAGAAATATAAGTTCCTTTTGCTTGACTGTTCGTGACAAACGATCCCATGTTGAACACTGGGATGAACGAAACAGTCGATGTCGGAATATAACTGCAGCTGTACCACATTTGGCTCTRGATCCTGGTGACCAAGTTTTCTCAATTTCACTTAATCGAGAGCGTCAACAGGATAGTGGACTCGATGCCCCGATTGCAACCTACACGTGTACACCACGGCTCAGACCAATGCCAATTGTACGTAAAGTATTGCCACGATACTTATGTTGTTTGCATGTTTCTTCTTGTCTTTGGTATAACRTTACTCGACCGATTGACTTCTTCACCTGGTTCTAACAATATGAAAAATTATTTGATACTACTCTTCCACGCAGTTGTTGAAGACGAAARTTCACAAAAACAACAATCGATGTAGGATTGGAACACGAATTCGAGCCAACCCGCAAAACAACTATCATCTCAAGGATGTCGTCATCTTGATCATAGTGCCTGTTGAGTTGGATGGTGAAAACGTTACCATGTCTCGCCAGGGTGGCGTTTGGGATGAAATGAAAAGGACTCTCATTTGGACCATTCCTAGTTTGGAACCTGGGGAAATCGTTGATATACAGGCACAATTCAAAAACACTACGAAGAAAGGACTCTCACAATCAGATTCGTCTGACCGTGCGACCATTGATTATGGCGACTCTGGCAATCGCTCTTTGAAATTTCCAGTGTTGGTAAGGTGTAATGGGGATACAAACTTCAGCAAGATCGACGCGGACACGAACTAYAACGAATGTGGATCAACTCCGATCGAGTTAGAAGTAGAAAGGCTGGCAACAGTCTTATATCGCAATGTTTAAGCCATTACTTTCCAATTCGGGTGTTACGTCATGGATTGTGTCCAATGTTAACGACAAATCTTTTGTTTCAGTCTACTAAAGATTACTCTAACCAACAATGGGGCTTTCATGTAGCTGGGTTCATACTGACTCRTAACTATTCTGTGAAGTAATGAATTTGCCTCTGAAAGACAGCAGCAACACTGGCAGTGATTTTCTCATACATTTGTTATCACGGAAAGCTCTATTTTGCTATATCGATGCATCGAACTTTACTCATCGTAACATATTCTTGATCTAAGGGACTCGCTCTTCTGTAGTAGTAATGCGCCGATTAGTGTATACTACTAGTAGTACCATCAAATTGATCACCAGCACAAAGAATTTAAGAAGCAAGAAGAACTGTTAGAAAGTCAACAAGAACCATGTTGGAAATGACATCTGAAACTGACTCCATGCAAGAAAGAGCTGAATGGCACCTGTACTGATTATCAGAAATTTCCTGCTTCAAGAAGAAGGGAGAGCTTCTTCTTCTTGTTGGTACTACTGGCAGATAATAGTAGTAGTAGTAGTAGTAGTAGTAGTAGTAGTAGTAGTAGTAGTAGTAGTAGTAGTAGTAGTAGTAGTAGTAGCGGTACTAGTACTAGTTAGTATGCTAGTATAAGTACTACTAGTAGGACTATTAATAGCAATACAACAACAACTACTAGTAGTACTACTACTACTAGTAGTAGAAAATAATACTAGTACTAGTACTAGTAGTAGTAAGCAGCAGTGGTGATAACAGTAGTAGTAGTACTACTACTACTAGTACTATTACTTCTGTGATTCAGGGTCGCAATTTGTAATTCGCGGTGATCGGGTCATTTCTGCAAATCTGATACCTAGACAGACTCCAGATTCATGTACTTTGTACTAGTTCATGTTCAGGTAGTCTGAGCAGGTTAGCTCAGAGCATCCCAGCCCCAATTACGGCGGTCGCACCCCGTACTACTGCTGGTACTACGGTAGTGAGAAACGAGTTTTTAAACTCGTGCACAACTTCATGCGACAACAGAACGTTGTCACCCGCACACCTACTTCTGCCTCAATGTTACAGAGATAGGTTCATGAAGGTTGAAGGTGTTGATCACAAAGTAATGCACAAGTCCTGGTATCAGCATACTCCGTCGTGTTTCCCACTATTTCAAAACCAAAGATGAACACCACCGAAGACACGAAGACGGATGTGATCAACTCTAATGGAAGTGCTTCAACGAATGGCAAAACTGGTGGTGAAAGCGGACCTGTAGAAAATGCGAAGGTGAAGAACAAGGAGGCAATTTTAACCGGTGGAATGGGATACGGTAGGAAAAAACGCCAAGCACTTGACGCATTTTGGTCTATTTTGTGGCCCGGTCTTGAGAAAATTGGATGGAAACGAGTGAGTGATACCAACTCTAGCGTGTACAAATGTAATGTGCGTTAGAAGTGTGCAATTGCCACGTCCTATCATCATTACTTGTTTGTATGTGCGGGCAGAGTATACAAAATGGCGAACGGATTGCATTTTTGATTAACTGTTATTTTTGCTCGAGATACAAAGATCATCTTTTTGTCTAGAAACCTTCGACTTACAGAGGCTTCGTCTCAATTGTTTATCACGATTTAGATTGTTGGTGAAGGAAGCGATGAAGGCTCGATGATATTTTTGCCACCCGGTATTATAGCTATGAGACGGGGGAAACGAAACATAGAATATTTTGACAGAATCAAACTAGTGATCGAGTTTCTTGAGGAAAGACGGAGCAAAGCAGAGGGGAAAATTCTGGATCTGTATCGCAAAGAGATACCGGCTACCGGCGGAGATGCCGTTGCATCAAATCCAAAAAGAGTTGGCGGTCGACCAAGATTGCGAGTTTCCCGATCGTCAATAAAAGATCGGGAAATTGAAGAGATTGATACGAGTTGGAAAGATGGTAGATGTCTTTATCCAAAACGATCGAGCAAAATAGGTAAAAAGCATCAAGTATCATCTCTACCTCGCGCGGGAACTTTCGAAAACAAAAGTGTACCGGACAATCGAGGGTGAGTTTTTTTTTACATTGGCTTCTAATAGTGGCTTCCAACCTATCATTGTTCATTTTCCAATACTAAAACCTCTCGCAATTCCTGCATTAACTGCGTAGATACGAACTGATTTGGAACTGGAAAGAAGCTGCAGAGAAGGGTATGTTGAACTTCATAGAAGAGAACGTTCCTAGCAATAAGAGAGAGAAAGCTCTAGAGCTCATGCACAAAAGTAATTACGTTGTATCAAATATTAAGGGATTTAGCGAACAAATCGATGCAAGCAATTCTTTACAGTGGACAAAAACAGATAGGGAAAAGTTTCATGAAGAAATTTTTCGTAGTCGAAAAAATTTCAAGTCAGTCTTACAAAACATGGGTAAAACTAACATGGGGGATGTTATTGCGTACTACTTGGGACACTACAAGAAGTCAGATGATTATAGACTTCTCAAGGCTGTTCGTTCTCAAGAAAGGGAAGAAAAAGCAAATCAAACCACTCATGCTGTGGACCACTGTGCTATTTGTGGTGAGGGAGGCAGTCTTTTGATCTGCGATGGATGCGAAAGTGAATGGCATATGGGTTGCTCTAAACCAGCGTTGAAAGCAATCCCTGAGGGTCACTGGGAATGTGATATATGCGTCGACCGCAAGTTTCTGGAAGGCAGGAAGCGCATTCTCGAAAATGTGAAAATGAATGCAACCGATCAACCATCAGGGAAGAGGGAGAAATTGGGATTGCACCAAGGAAGCGATATTGGATCAAAAAGACATGATCAAAGTATGCCCTGGACAAGTTTTCCTCCAGATGTTTTTGATGTAATCAAGGATTTTTCAAGAAATGTCAATTCGATCCTATCAACTGCAACAATAACTTTAAAATCAGAGGAAGATCTGATATCGAATTGATTTATCTCCGCTGTTTTCTCTTTCTGAAAATGGTTCATTCTCAAGTGGCCTGTCATGAGAACAGCATTGAATTGAAAAAGTATTATCAAGTTCTTAATGTCGGAAGACATGAACAATCACGAAGGAATACTAAACGCACTTCAGTTGAGAGTTGTCGTTTTTGTTGGCCTGAAGAAAAAAACGATACCGGTATGCTTCGACTAGGGCAATGTGGTTTATGATTATGCTGGGGGCTTAGAGAATGCTGACAAAATAAAAATAGATGCAGTACCGTACCTCAATATGTAGTGATACTACGGTACTTGAACCCATCCAATTGTCACTTCATAAATGCTTAAATAATTAAAAAATTTCGTTCCTTCGACAGCACGTACCGGTAGGTAAAGTATCCAAGTACTTTAGGATGATAGCATGGTCCCGGCCTCCAATGGTGCGCGTGCCCCATGAGGAAGAATATTGCGCGACATCGTGACACATCTTCGACTCTCCACGCGCAACATCGCTAAATCGAAAAATTGTATCCGTTGAGTTATACTTACTTAGAAAATACTGTCTCCCGCTCAAAATTCAACGTTKAAGACGAACATCAAAACTTAGTCTGTTTTGGGCTAGAATTCGCCGACCGCAAATTGAAACAAAACTCTCGTGTAAATGGTGAAAGCATCATCACATCAAAATAACCCCCAGTATTTATATCAACCCTTTCAGCAAAGAAAATCYAAATCCCGAAAAGTAGAAGGCACAAACCTATGGCAAGATGGACTCGACTATGGGAGAAGAAATGGTAGCAAAGCCAACATCTAGAGAACTGGTGGTTGTCGATGGGGGCGAGTATGCCCTTGTCGAATATAACAAAAGACGAGCACACATCTGTTGGTGAGTTCAAGGAGTCTGTCTCTCGATCGTGTAGGAACCAATACATGCGGATCCCAGGGCAGATCAAAGATGAAGAACTAACACGATTGATTCCAAACACAACTCTCTTTTGTTCTACGACAGTGGATGCGATACGAGAAACGCAATATTCGTCGTCGATACCATCAGTATTTGCTTCTACGGCCTAATGACGGTTAGCTTTGCCTTACTTGCTGGTGACAAACTACAGTACGACGATGATCAAGTGCAAGTAGTCATGACCACACTGTACAATACAAAGATAGGTTTCGCAATTGCAACATCTGTCATTGGCATGCTTTGTAGCATGATCGGAATATTTGGAGCAGCTCAATTCAGTACGATTGGAACCACCATCGGAGGTCTATGGTTCGTGTGCGAGAGCATTCGTTGCTTGGTATTCAAAGATGTTGTTACTGCAGCAGTTGCAGCTGGGTTCTGCTATCCTCACGCGGTATTCTACCACGAGCTAAAAAGTGGAGTGATGAGTCGTGAAAACTATCCAAAAGAAAAGATTTGCTGCGACTGTTGCTGCAGCTGCTGATTCTTAGATTCCCCTGCATCGCCCTTTGTTTTTCCTATTTCACACTCGCATAGATACCAATCGCGACCCAAGTTGTAGTATTAATATATTTGAAGTTGTCAGTTAATTAATGTAATTGAATAATTGCATACTTTTCCTGACATTGAATGGGTGTTTTCGTTTTTTCGAAGATTGTTAGAACCGAGGTAACATTCTTAATTTAACGGCGAGGATTCTTCGTGGGTCAAAGTTTCGTCAAAGTTGTTGCAGCTACTGAACCGATTGTTTATGGAAGAACCTAGCAGATAAAAACGCAGTAGCTGAAATTAAAATGAAACGACAGATGAATGTGAACCATCGTTAGTTGTCGTTTGCCCCAAAACAGTAGGATGTTCTCGATAGCGAAACCTTCGTATTTATTTTGAAGGAACCAAGCTTTGTTTCCGTCTGTACGGGTAAGGAAGATTGAGAATAATCAGTCATGAGTAGGTCGGATATGTCAGAAGTACTTTTCTCACAAATTTGTGGTACAATTTTCGAGGATGTCGCGCGCGCTAATACGACACGCTCAGAAGTCAATTTACACGCTTTCGGGGGGAACAATCTACCGTTTCAACGCTTGAAATCAGATTCCCTTCCTTTTTACATAATTTATTTTTTAATTCAGTATCGTATCCTTTTTTTTTGACGAAGAATTGATCTTTATTTCTGCAACTCAATTTTGTTCTAAACATCAAAACAAGGAAWAACCTCACATAAACCCATAAAACAATTTTCTGAAAACTTTGACGAGACAAAATGGATCCAAATCAGGTTTCTAAAAGCACTGAGATCTGCCAGGGTGACACCGACTACGTCACTTACGACAAAGCACCAAAGCGCGGGCACGTTTTCTGGTAAGTAAAAATGAACTGAACATGACACCGTATGGAATACCCAAATGTGGACTTGGAATCACGAATGAAACTTACTCTTTGCTTTGATGACAATAGTGGTTGTTGCTGTGATGTGAGAACAGCATGTCTTGTCGTCAATGTAGTCGCTTTGACATTCGCTGCATTGGGCTTGGTTAGTTTGGCTCCACAAATGGACAGACCTGGATTTGAACGATTCGGAATCTTCATGGCACTCTTCGTGATTGGAATCATTTCCAACTCTTTGGGCATTTATGGTGCTTTAAAATTCAAGAAGATTTATGTCCTCATTGCCACTATCTGGTTTGGTCTTGAAGCAATTCTTAGTCTTGTCCTATTCATGGACTTCGTTGGTTTTGCTTTCGCCATCTTCTTTTTGTACCCACACCTTGTGTTCTTCAAAGAACTACAAGACGGGGTCATGAGCTCAGAAAATTATGGCCGAGAAAAAAATTGTTGCAGTTGCTGCTAGTCAGCAGTGTCTATTTCTGAGACCTTTTTATGTCCAAACGAGTTGCGAGCTGGGAAAACGCCGATCAATTCTTTCAATATCTATACAAAGTGGTAATMTGTCCCCATATCTCTATAAATTTTGAAGACTTATTTGTAATATTCTGGCTTGCTTACAATTCAACTAAGGAACTTAGAGAATCGTATTGCTATAGGTTCAATGAGACCTGTACAGCTTGATTCGGCGTCATCGTTCCCGATACTTCTGTCAGTGTCAGACGAGTTTCTTTTCCCAGTTGAAGAACGTGTAAGTTGATATAGTATTTTTTCCCTTGCAACTGGCGAAGGAAGTTTTGGATTTTTCACTAAGGCAACAAATTCCTTGCCATACAGTCTGTGCAATCGACCCCTCCAATAGACCGAAATGAATCCTATGTTTTCTAGTAAAAGGAAGAAGGCCTTCAGTATGATCCACAATTCTTGAGTATTGGATTCTTTGAGTTGATCAATGATTGATTCGACAATGGGTTCCAAATCAAGGATACATTCGAAAAACTCTCGCAGAAGTGTTTCCCGCGGAATTGACACTGATTTCGTTACAGTTTTGACACGTTCAAGTGCATTTTCTATGAGTATCGTGTCASACGTAGAGTCCATAACTCTGGAATAACCATGTTGTAGGTTTCTTATTGAAATCGTCGCAGCTTCGATTGCATGATCTATTTCAGTTTTTACCTCCACTCTCTTCGTCTTCTGTGAATTTTCTTTATTCTGTTTGTCCTTCAGTACCATATTCGTMGAAGATGTGATCAAACCACGCACAATTGATTGACTTGATTCAATTCCGCGAACTATTGATAAGTTTGTTGCGACGTCGATGACCCTCCTTTGCATATCAGGATGGCAGAATAGCTCAAGGCTTGACGTCAGGTTTTTCATCAGTTTACTTTTAACAAAGCAACGAGATAATTCGAATGCCCTTGTCTGCATCTCTTCGATCTCTGTTTCAGTTGATTCGATTCCAATCTGGAGTTCTTCAGAAACCTGCGATACGAAAACATATACTTCCTCTACCGCAAGAGTCTTGAGGGTTTGGTCAACAGCAAAGTCGCAAATTCGTTTTAGATCTCGATGCTGATGAAAAAATCCTTCCGCAAGCTTATTCTTGGCATGTATTTTCTTTCCATGAGCTGACTTGTCCAGCGGTGACTTTGTCCAAGTAGCTTTACTTAAAGGGGACATGACTTTTTCTCCCGGTGATTCGGCTATAAAATATGACCGTGCTTCGGTGCCAACGGCAGTGCTAACAATCGACGGTCTAAGTTTCCTCTTGATCTCTTGACGAGTACTTGCCTTAGCCACATTAGTGATCACATCACAGAGATCTTCCATGTCAGGACTGGACGCGTAAATTGCCGCCGTACTCAGTCTAATTCTTCGATTATCTAAAGAGTCAGTTTTGGCTTGAGAAATTGGTGCGATGGTTGCATGCGGCAGTGATGTCAATTTCGGAAGGGAGAAGGTACCGTGAAAAAAAGTTTCTAGATGGAATGATAGCAATTGCATATGAGAACCGTGAACCTTATTTTCGTCTGAGCTTGGCTGTGAAGCGTGCCTCTGAACAAGTCTCAAATTTGCCAAAATCTGACGGTAGTTCATCGACGACTGTGAAATCGAGTCCCATTTGCTCATTTTGAGTAATTCTGTAACCCAGGGTATAGTAAGAAAGGTGTAGCCACCATCCCAAGCTTCTTGGACTATTGTCGGTAGATGTAATCCAACAGACTCCAATTGATTCAGACCGTTATCCRAAGAACATATGCAAGGTTTTAGTTTATTCAAATCAATACCTTCTTCCTGCCAATTTGGTGAAAAGACCAAGAAGCCAAGAAACCGACCGAGGAGTGCCAGCTCAAGCGTTCGCTTCTCCAGTCCAGAAGAAGACTGATTTGAAACCATATCGGACATTTTCTTTACCACTTGATGTAAAAGATGTATTCCAAAATTATAACTGTTCACCGAATAAAGAAAGATGAAGAAAAATTCTTGGTACCCCGGGAAATATGAAAGTGCTTGTTGAAATGTAGGAGTCGTCCCGTGAGTGTGATTATTGTTGGCGTTGTGGGTTCGATATCGCTCGTTTCTACGATTTCCTCCTGTTGCACCGGATGCAAATCCTGCCCTTCTTCGAGAAGGACGGGAAGGAATCTTTTTGGAGAATCGTTTATGGAGCTTTTGTAACTTGTCCTTGTCATCGGCAGCGATTTTCAAAAGCTCTTGATCCATTTCGTCCACCGGAGCAAGCCCAACTTGAACCAATAGATCGCAAAAAAACTGAGCAAACCACAATATGTTTTGTGGTGTAATGTTGCCGATAATTTTTCTAGATTCATACTTTGCCGTTTCTCGAATRTTATCGACCTCCTGGGGAAGAAAGACCTTACTTTTTGCTGTCATGAAGACACGGAGCTCCGAGAGAAATGCGTCGCGGGTGACTTCACGATTTTGATAGACAGCAATTTCTACTGGCGTTTTGAAGTTGTGACGGTTGTCACGGTCTGGTTCAAACGGCAAGCTAAAAATAGCGTGCGTTCCCGTTACCAAATCAGAAGACGGTGGTGTCCAATCAGCAGCAGTCGTACTTTCGAGAAGGACACGATTCAGACGTTCTGCCAGTGCAGGACAACGTTGTGAAAAGTTGCCATCTTGAAGCAATGCCTTGATGAGAAAAGGGCTCAGCCGTTGCAGTATTCCTTTTTCCATTTTCATCAGAGCACTCTGAGCAAATTTAATACAGCGCTCGGGACTGTAAAATATAGGTTGGAAAAACAAAGTAGACCCCGTTGGTGYTCCCAATGCTTCGTTTCTGCTTTTGTTTGCCCTTCGCTCATCTGAGTGGTCCTGCTGAATAGAGCCATGTCCTGAGAAGTTCGAGGAGGCTAGGTTTGTATCGATCGATAAAAGCTCTRTCAGCAAATGCACTTCTAGCGGCGTCGATGGAACCAGCATGTTCTCTATCAACGCAATGTAAATGTCGGTGAGTCGTTCCATTTGCTCGACTGTTGCTTTCGAAACATTTGTCGAAGGCTTTGAGGGCGATACAGCCATGTTGTGTTTTTCGTATTTGACTGCGCTCGAATGATCTTGGTGTTTGTTTGAATCATTGTTTGTATTTCTCGGAGGAGTGCGAAAGGCTCCAATTGGGGTGGAATTAGATTCGCTAGCCACATCAAACATCATCGATGTTTCTTTGACTTGCAACGGTCGAACTGGCTTCTGTTTTCTTGCTTGGAGTATATTGATCACAACTGTGTTGCTTGAGCCGGTAGAAGCGACTGGCTGTCGAGTATCTGAGGAAGTAGCAGTCATGGAACGTCCCTTGGACTGGTTCGAAATCGTCGGAGGGCCCATGATCGATGAGGGAGGAACATTGCTCCATGTAGAACCGGACAAWTTTTTTTCCTCTGCTAATGTAGATATCGATTCTGACACAGTTGTTGGTATCTGCTGTGGCTGGATCCGTCGTTTCGATTTCTTTTTTCTTGCCTGTAGAGTGTTGATGACAGATGTCGCACCAGACTCTTTTCCACATGTGTTGCCAACGGCACTACCTCCATACGGTTTGCCACTCTGTGCTTTTTCTTCTTTCTGGAATGGAGGCGTTAAGATGTTTGAGAATCCCGGGTGTTGTTGCAGTGGAGGAAAGGACTGGTCGTAGCTTGCCACAAGGACAGTGTTCTCTGTTTTGTTCAATGATTTTATTTTCGATGGCATTGAGTTATCTCTGTTCGCACTTCTTCTGACACTTTCGGTAGATCGATCGTTGTCATTGTTATTGACTGCTGTTTTCCCGGGCTTTGTCGCCACCGCCTGAAATGGCGCACAGGCATCTCGGATAGCACGAAGAATCGCAAAGGACGTCCCGTAGCGATACCGGCACTGGAATCGTTTTCCRCAGGAGAGCAATTTCCTCTCTCGAATTGCGATCTGATCGGTAGTACCGTTTAGCCAATCAATCATGGAATTGCTGCGCGTGCGATCTTCGGAGGAAAGGACATCTACAATCTTGGAAAGGGCGGTAAAGTTGTGGCACGGGCACTCTATTTTGTCACCACCGATCATCGGAGTTGTTCTCTTGCCATTTCCTTTCTGCAACTCATTGAGTTTCGTCTCGTTGTTGCTCTCGTTCTGAATTTTGTCATCGTTGGTACTGCTTTTGTTGAATGTCTGGGTGTCTATTTCGACTGTAGAACTACCAGACATCGTCATCGTAATTCATTGAACCATTTGTCGATGCTCTTGACGGATATTACTGTACAGTAAACGAGGTTTGTTTTCAAACAAGAATCATGGCCCTTCGTGCCGTAAATACAGGACGAGCTGTGTACTACCGTACCATAAAGCAAGTGAGATTGCCATGGTCACTACTACTATTGCCTTCCCACCACCATAAATAACACCATACTGCTACTACTACTTAGTAGTAGGCCCAGCCCCTAATTGCCCTGAAGTATACTAAGTGTCCTATCTTCTAAATTTTTGTAGTAAATGAGCAATTACGCAACCTCATTGTCCCTAGCTACTAGTACTACTAGTAGAGGTGCTTTGCTGCTGCTGGTGGTGGTGGTGGTGGAGTGTCAAGCACCAAGAAGAAGCAAGAAGAAGCAGGAATCATGGCATGCTGGTACTACTAGTAGTAGTAGTAGTAGTAATACTAGTACTATTAGTACAACTACTACTAGCTAGTAGTAGTATTCTAGTAGCACTGGTGCTTTTAATGCATATGATTGTATAACGTTGTAAGCACCAAGAAATTTGGTGCAAGTCGCCACGCAAAGACCATCAACAACCAGAATAATATTTGTAGTGGTAGTCGTAGCACATAGTAGTACTAGTAGTATCTAGCAGCACCTTGAGTACAATGATAACTGATCTTTCTTTGAATTTTCAACTCCAATTGTGGTACAGTAGTAGAACTAGTAGTAGTACTACTACTACAATTACACTGCTGACAATACTTGTAGTACTAGTGGAGGTGCAGATCCATCACTAGTAGTAGTAGTAATAGTAGCAGTAGCAGTAGCAGTAGCAGCAGCAGTAGTTGTTGTTGTTCTTCTTCTTCTTCTTCTTAGTAATACTAGCAGTAGTTGCTGGTGGTGGTGTAGTACTAAGAAGAACAAGAAGAAGCATGCTACTTCTATGGTTGGCTCCAGCTGCAAACTTTTGGTACAATAAAAGTGCCAACAGCAGTACAATAGTAAGAAGATGCTGACACAACAAGAGCCCCAACTAGTAGCAATACAACCCAGTGCATTGTCCTTGTAGTTGGGGCCAATAACAAGCTGTTGCTGGTATGAATGCTGCTCATACAAAACTAAGGCATGCTACAACTAACAGGAGCTGAAGCACCTGGTGATCATACAAAGCTGTACTGTAGATAGTAACACCAAGGAGGTCTACTAGTACAACAACTGAAACAATCAGTTGCAACCACCATGAGCTGAGGTGATCATACAAAGTTGTACTGCAGATACTACTAGTACTAACAAGTGCTAGTACTAGTACTGAAACAATCAGTTGCAACCACAAGCATCATAAAATTGTTGTACTGCAGATACTAGTAAAAACATACCTTTGTAGTGCTACTGAAATAATCAGTTGCAACCACAAGCTGAGATGATCATACAAAGTTGTACCACTGCAGATACTACTACTACTAGTAACAAGATCTAGTACTACTGAAACAATCAGTTGTTGCAAGCACAAGCTAATGTCAAAAATCTATTTCTTCAACTGTCCCCTCTTACTATGTTGCCAACAGCAATGGTAGTACTGTCACATATTATGCTCCTTCAGCTCCTTTGATTGATATCCTGGCTATCTGTGGCAATGTTGAAGATTCTCAATAGATGGTGATTTTGCTATTACTACTACTTCTAGTACTAGGATGTGATTGGAATATGGTGGTGTGTTGTAACTATGGTACTAGTGGTGCTTGACATTTACCTTCCCTACAATATTTGCTACATGATACAAGCGCTTCTTCTTCTGATCAATACCTAGTTCTTGGCATTTTTGTTGGTGTATGGAAAACAAGAGAGTAGTGCAATTCCCAATGAATGACAATCCATATATTTGTATTGATGACACTAGTACTAGCTAGTAGCACTAATAATAGCTCAAAGATAGCTTTGGGATTGATAATTGATCAGGGGGATGCTGTATCAATTACCATGATCAAAATTATCTTAATTGCTAGTACTAGTAGTAGTTCTTTTTGGGAAGTTGTTGGATTGTTTCTTTGGGTAGTATTTTGCAAGTAATTATTACTATTATTAGCAATGGTCAGCATTCAAAAACAAGACTGTTATAGTAGAACTTTTCACTATCGCACTATTACTACTAGTACTAGTTGTAGTACCAATTGGTACTAGGTATTCATAGCAACACCAAGACCAGTTCACATAAGCACTGTTATCACTGTGAGACACATGATCCTAATTCCAAAAACATAGGGAGTGTAGAACCAAGATAGGAATCCATGAAAAACAAGTAGGGTGTTTCTATCATTGGAGTATATTCTGATTCATTATTTTGTTTCTTTGCATAGTTGTAGTAATAGTGTTGTAGAAGTAGTACTATCCTAGGCAACATTTCTGCAAGAGCTAAAGCCTGTCAGCTTTACCTATTATATTCCTTCTTGTGGTGTCCTTGAGGCATCTTCTTGTCCTCCATTTGATGTTCAAAAAGAGGAGTTGGTAGCATTCAATTCAGTTTTAATTGATCTCAGCATAGACAGTTGTTCCTCTTTTTTTGGTCAGACTCTTTTTAAGCTTTGGAAATGATTTCTTTCATCAGCTTGTTGTAATACTTTTGTTTCACTATAGTTCATCCTCAAAAATTGTTTCATATCCACTTATCTGCTCTGTGCCCTATTTTGAAAGAAATCATTGATGACAGCAGGAGTGCTACTTGCAGCAAACAGAATGATCACTTTTACTACCACCACAACTTCTATCACTAGTGCACTACTAGTATCAAAGCAACATATTTGACCAACAATCTTTTGCGTTCATCCGTTGGTATCTTGGTCTACACAATGCATTGTTCATCTAGGCATCCCACTCAAATGCATGACATGGGGAGATTTTGTGATCTAGTTTTCCCTGCTACTAAAAATCCTCTCCCATATAAAATGCTAAAACACTACTTCTAATGATTGTCATGTCATATTATAATTACAGTATTTGGCTTACAAGGTATTTCATCCATTTTTCATTGTAGTTAGCGAGAAGCAGCTCGTTTAATTTCGAAAATGGCAATGCTGCCATCTTCCCCACCAGTACAGCAGATACATGTTCCAGAATCGCAATTGTTCATCCCTACRATGGACAGATTCACACTGGTCAGACCTGGTGATGATTTATTGTTCACACTAGGCCATAAAGACAAGTCAGATGTAAAATACGTAGAATCGCGAATAGGAATAAGACGAAGACCTCCGTCTGAACATCCAACAAGAAGGATACCCTCGGCGTAGACAAGCGATTGCACTGCGACGCCCACAGATGCAACACTCGCCTTCCTCATTGTGCCGTCAATAAGCGAATACGAACCAACCTTGCCAGTAGCGAACCCAGCAAACAAGCTCAGTCGGCCCCCTTCTGACGACCATTTCACTACCGAGCATGATCCAGATCCTCGCCGAGCAGGTTCCTTGTGGATGACCACTTGAACCCCATTGCTGTGCAAATTCCAGACACAGAAACTACCATCTGCGGATCCTGCACCAACGATGATACCCCCTTCATCTGGACAGGCAACGGCAGACACACTAACGATCGATGATTCGGCATCGAAGAGTTCTGCCAACGGTTCCCTGTCAATGGATACAGTTTCGCCATTTGCAACCACCACAGACCACACCTTGATGGTTGCATCCCAGCTACCGCTAACCATAATATGAGTTGCGTTCTTTGGCCACAAGGCCGATTGTGTCGTGAGAGGAGGCCTACAAAGCATATCAAGTCCAGTGACAGCGTCTCGATGAGAGTATATAGACGCAACTGCACAGGCAGAATTGATTCCGTATGCCAGCACCACATCATCGTGGCCACCTGCAAATGCAATTTTCCCTCCTTGGCCATCACCTGCCATGCAAAGGCAAGCAAGTGGATCGCGAGAACTGTGGGTTCTGTGCTCTGTTAGCTTGCTTTGTTCATTCGCCGAATTTTGACCACGAGACATGGCAATATAAGAGAAGCGGCTCAATGTACCTGTCAATCCTCCCTCTCTTTCTTTCTTTTCCGAATCAGAAAGTCCAAGGCTAACGGTGTGGACCTTAAGACCTCCGTCCAAGGAAGTTGTCACTAACATGGATCGGTCGCCTTCTGCTGGAAACATGGCACATCCAGAAATCGCGTCCTCGTGAACCTGCCTTTTCTCAATGAATTTCACGTCCCATTCCGCTGAAGTCGCTGGGGTTGGCTTTGTCGGGGAAACTGGACCCATAGTGGAACGAGGAGACGCAGTCTTACCCTCGGACTCAGCAAAGGAAGGGAGGCTGTCCTTACCAAGGTGGGAGAAGGACGAGGTTCTTAGTCCATCTCCAACATCTCCACTTCCACTCGTCGGAATTCTTCTATTGCGATGATGGCTCTCACCAAAGCTACCCTTGGTTTCAACATGGAAAGGATTCTGTGGTTTGCTATCTTTACTTTGTCCTTTCGTATTAATTCTATCGATACCCGATGAAAACAATGCTGGGTTGTCTTCGTCTTCTTCTTTCCATGGTACCGGATTTTGAGAACCATCCCGATGGTTCATATCGTGGCTGTCAACGGATGGCGACTCGAGCAACTCCCAAGCATCAGCTTTCCCATCATCAGTTCCGCTAAAAGTACGCCCCACGTCGGGATTGACAAAACTATCGTCGACCGTTTCGTGACGGAGAGGATGTCGCCCGACAAAGAGTTGGTCGGGAACTATACCGAACTCGGTCGCTTGCAACTCTGCTTGAAATCGCTCCTCAGGTGTGGGCAGTGCCGATAAGTCTGCCGGTCCTAGGTAGGCCGAACGATGAAAGAGGTTGTTTGCTTCTTTTGCAGCATCTCCCCTCGACTTGCTTCCAAAAATCAAGTCGATCCAACGGGGCAACATCGCGGTGCATATTTCGGATTCCAATGCTTTGTTGTTCTTTCTCAGGAAATCTCTGGGAGACTTTGCCCAAGGGGGCAGAGTTACGTCATTGACTCGATCACCGTTTTGAGTAGCTCCTAATTGCAATCCTTGGGCGTTGATTAGAAAATCAAAATCGTTATTTGGGCTATAGAATTCTGGAATCAGCTCCTTGACGTCGGCATGATTGGACAAGACGCAGGAGTAACATTTGGAAACACTATGGAACAGGCGATCTGGCGCATCGAATTTCCCATTCTGCAGGCACAACATGTGCTCGGGCATGCTGCGAACCAAACTGAAACGAGAAAGAGAACAGAATTTCAAAAGCCATGGTCAGTGACCTACACGCAAACTCATTCATAGCTTTTGCGCTCTAACCAATAGCGCGATTTTCGTGTCTGCACTCACTAGTACAATACGTATCCCGCAGCGGAGTAATGTGTCCCGTACAAGAAATCATCTTCCATGTCTGCCATTCCTTCCAATCGCTGCTGAAAATACTGCAACCGTTTCTCGTTCAAGGCACCAATTGGCTTCGATAAATCCCGAAAGGTCTTTTCGTCCGTCAAATCGAGCGTGGTGGATTCATGATCCGAAATGACCCAAGGAAACACAGGATAACGCGACAAGTCCTGGACGGTGCGACCGGCGGCACTGTTCAAAAGCAAAAGATAGTCGTAATTGGTAATGGTTCCCCGCTGCCACTCCTGAGATGCCTGAACAATGAATTCCCTGTCGGTGTGACACGGAATGACACTGCCGTTGCTGTTGCCCCGGTGGGTTGGTAGCAACCGCAAGACTTGCTCTCGTTCGTGTTTGCGGTCGTACCCAAAGAGCGTACTGCTCCCATCCTTCCAGAAAAGTTCCAGTGCCGAATCTTTCAGTCCAAAATACCGCCGTGCCGTTGCCAGTAAGTCCCGCTGGAGGCACCACGTCTTTGCCTGAGACGATGTTTCCACGCCAATCACACCCAGAGCTGGCTGGAAGTACATCCGCTCTTGCGTTACGACCATGCAACCTGGCTGCGCTTGCAGCGGGGTGAGGAGGTTGCATCGGATGTTAGAGGTCAGAACCCGCTCACGAACGTCCCGCAGGTTTGCGGGATCGAAGGGTCTGTCTAGCATTGGCTTCAGCAGCTCGTCCAATTCCGATTGCGGATTGTTGCTTCGAGACACGTTCGACGACGAACCGGTCTTGGACTTGTAATTAATAGTGAACAAGTGCTTGCACAAGTCCACAAAGGACGTGGGAGACGAGTGCAAAAACGTAAATCTGAAGCGCGTGTGAACAGGGATGCTTTCGAAGGGGGATATGGCATTGTTTGCCTTCATTGTAACGTGGCGAGAGGATTCGAATTCTACCGTCATGGCTTCGAACGATTTGACCGAGGGATCCTCGGTCTTGTTTGGGTATTCCTTCGGAGGGCTCTCCAGTTTGTTGAAAGAACACCGAAGAATCGGTCGCGCAAAATCGCTTGGCTCGAAGATCAGTGATTTGGAACAAAGATGCAGGCGGCCCTCGATCTTGGTGAGGTGGGCACTGGGGTAGAAATCTTTGTCGAGTGCGGCCTTTTTTTTCTGTGCTCTGCTGGAGGAAGCCGAAGAGGACGAAGTGGCTGCCGATTGCTTTCGGAGAGACTGCGATGCTGCCGCGGTGGATCGGTTGGCCGCCCACGTGGTTTCTAGGTTCTTGCTCTTTCGGCTCGACCCCATGGTGGTCCGACCGCCAGACCCGGACGCACTGGAGGCAGAGTGGTGCCGGAGTGTAGGGCACGTGTACGCAATGACCGCCCAGTCCTGGAGGTGCTTCTCGCCGTGTTCCAACAAAAGGTTGCTAAACCGAGACCGATCCTTGTGCCGCTCGGCCCACCGACCGGCTTTCCGGGGATAGAGAGCACCCACGGCCTCGGTCATGTTGTATCCATTGGTGTTGCCGGAGTGAGCGTTCTCACCTCCCGCAAACCAGGATCCGGTCATGTTTTCGATATCAATATGTGTTGAATTCGAATGTCTCTCGTTGGTGGACGCTGTTTCTCCTTCGTGTTGCCGTCCTACCGTACTCACTGCAAGTGCTGATGGGCATCTTCGTTCATGTCGAGTCTTTCGAAAACCTGTCCAGTCTAACAGAGAGCGAGTGTTTTGCTGGGAGAAACCAAAAGAAAGACACACAAAATGATCGTAGAAACGGCATGAAAAACTATCTTCGTTTTTAGTACTGTATCCTACAGTACTACATACTACACTACAGTAGGAGTTTCGGTTCTGTACGAAAAGTACGACGCTGTCCGTAGAGTGGACTCGCCYCTACTCGTACAGTCAAACGTTTATCGTAGTACTGTAGTAACGGTACTGGCTGCTCGTACTCGCGTGAGTCGTACGTACCGTACTCCATTCGGACAGTGCTAACGTACGTACCGGTACGAGAGTACAGTACTTGGGTACTTCGTAGCAAGATAGTCAGAATAGAATAGAAGGCACCCTCATGGCATGGATGGAATACAGAAATTCCCCGACGTCCGTTAGTCTAATGAATCCACCCTACAGATGTACACCGTACAGTACATAGAAGGGCATGCAGGTGCGACGCCACGACCCCAAAAAAAGATTTWAAAAACATTTTTTAAAAATAAAAAAATCATTTTCAAAATCGAGCGAGTGACGGCCAGAGATTGATTGATTCGACCAAACACGAACGAGCATTCCTGCGAGTTGCAGATCCTGTTCCGCCWCAAGGATTTTGGTGGGAGAAGCTTTTCGTTCRAATTCGAGGCTTCAGATTTTTGCAATTCTTGGATGATTCTTGGACACATGCCTCTYCATTTTGTGCCCTAGCATCAAAGGAAAGAGAAGACGGGGAGCATCACGACGACGACAATGACGGTAGCTCTGTGGCTGGTCCAAGCTGCGCGACGGTCGATTTCTACCGTTGGGATCCATGGGGGAGGATCCGTTCGCGCAAGGTGTCACCCGCTTTTGGGARCACATTCTCCGACGAGGCAGCTTGTTGAAGCCCGATCACGACGGTTTTCGTTCTCGTCGAAGCAGCCGGGGCAGCGGAACSACCGTCGATTCAAGCTCAATCCTGTCCATGCCACGAACAACAAACATCGATCCAGCAGCGGCCACCGCTATCGACACCATAAACAGCACATTCCAAACTATGTATACCTCCTGGGAGGTCTCCCAGTCGTGGGAGGAATCTTTCTGTACGTTCGGTTCCAAGATGTCGTGCCGCTGACCGGGCGCCGGCGCTGGCTCGCAACGCAACCGGAAACCGAAAAACGCATCGGAGACGAGGTAAGTCGGTTGTGTTCGGTTCGGTCGGAGAGTAGTCGAGTCGGGGCGGAGGCCACAGCAAATCACTCAATCAAGCACTGTGTAGGACCTTTTGCGCGTTGTCGCTGAACGTAGCGGGGATAGAAACCAGTATCTCTCATCTGGGTTGCTCGCCCGAGAGCGATACTTTCAATCATGACAATCCTAATATGTGCTCTTGCTTCTACAGAACTATCGACAGCTTCTTTCCCAATACGGAAACAATGTACTTCCCAAACAGCATCCTACGACCCTAATGATTGAACGGGTGGGGAGGAGAATATTTTTGGCAGCAAGGTAGGTCGCGACCTATTGGRTGACAACAGAGACAGCAAAGAACAGAATTTGTGGCAAAAAAGGGACGCGATCTGATGCTTCCTTTTTGTTTTGCGACCTCTTCACACCGTGTTTTGGATTCGGTCTACCACAGGAAATTCGCGATCGAAAACGAGTTGAGATGGTTTGATGCAAAACATGCTACATTTACGGTGGTAAATTCGCACCAAGCAAATGTTTTTGTCCTCCCGGGGAACCATGTATTTTGTAAGTGGACGACATAATTGATCATTGGTTATGATTCGGCACCGTATGGTTCTACTTGAAACATGTAACGAGACGAGTGCTTGTTGTACATGCACTTTTGAGAAGGAGTTCTCTAACACACATTTGCAATCTATTACTGATTGCGGTAGTCCTGACTGGGATGCTGGAGCATGCTAGAACTGAAGATGAAATAGGAGGTATATTGGTAAGTTGAAAACGATGACATAGACCTGGCCTCTGATTGATGCTGCGTGGAATGGTCTATGCCGCCTACTGGTCGAATGCTGGGGATCTACGAAATTTAAATTTTGTCGTTTCCTTTGAAGAATTCTTTCTCACCTGAAAGTTTGAAATGAACGAAAACAAAGGGACACGAAATGGCGCACAATCTTGCTAGACACCAGGGTGAACGGATGTCTAGTAGTGTCTTTTTTAGCATCTTAGGTATATTGAGTCTTCTGATCGATCCAAGCGGGGGCCTGCTGTACTTGTTCACCCCAGCGGTACAGCTCGTCGGTCAGCTGCCAAACTCGAGAACACAAGAAAGCGAAGCCGACCAGATTGGTATGCGCCTCGCCGCAGAGGCGTGCTACGATCCCGAGGCCCTAAGCCGTCTGTTTCGGCGCATGGAAACGGCCGGGGCCAGCAAACCGCCCGAATTCCTCTCGACTCACCCCAGTGAACAGTCGAGAATCCGCGAGATGCAAAAGTGGCTTCCGGAGGAAAAGAAACTATTCCATATGCACGATGGAGAACGATGCAGAGCATTTCGCCAAAAACTAATATACACGACAAGCACCAACATGCCACAACAATTTCATGGGAGTGATGGCAAGCCTTGTTGGAAATGAATTCTGTTGTCCAATGGAATGAAGTCGAGTGGTGTTTGTTACATCTGGGGGAGATCAAACATTCTTGTCCCAAATCCAATACCATGGCATAATCAAAACAATCAAAATCATTGTCTTATATGCCAACAACTTGGTGCACTTGAATCTACTCATAATCTATTTCCATTTGGTAGCTACACGAGCTAGTAGAAGCTGTAAAAGCTTCCCCACAAAGCATCTGTACTTTTCAAATAGAAATCATTATTAATCGATAGCCATTAGCTCTTTCAAAAATCAAGAGTAGTATGCATCGGTAGCAATTCATCCAAACCGGGCCAAACGGGTCGCCTCCTGCTGGAGTATTCGTCTTCAGAATCCGAGGCCTCTGGTTCTTCATCTTCGTCATCTTGGGCATCGGCACCACCACTTCCGTCGTTCTTGCGTTTCTCCTGGCGCCCACGGCGTTTTCGAAAGGAACCGAGAGATCCCTGCAGGTCGGCTTCGGCACGAATCATATCCATGACGACCGAATCGGTCAAGATAGGTTCTATGGACCTTCGGGTTGCCTGAATGTCCAATATTTTCCCGTATAAATGCTTGTCGTGGCAAACGGGAAAGATGAAGTTCTGMGCTCCTACTGCCGCCGGAAGGGTCACGTGGGCACTCCGAATCCGGCTGTCCTCGAAAAAGTCCACACCGGCCACTCCAACCCAATCGCCGATTGGTACGCCTTTGAACACTATTTCCCCTTTTTCGGCTGCTACTGCTGCTGGATCTAAGGCCGGCTTGTTCTTGATTTTTGGTTCTGGAAGGGGGTCGTCCCAATAATCAATATCTCGGCGCTTTCGTTTCTTCTTTTCGCCAAAGTTCGGTTTGTTGCTTGCTGGATTGGGTTTTGTGGTTCCGGGTGGCTTTTTTGCGGCGCCAGTGTCTTTGCTACTCGCATTAGTAGCATCTGTCGTGGTTGTAGCAGGAGTTCCATCGGCCTTGGTTGCCTTTTTTTTCTTTTTGCTGGCGGCTACTTTCGACGGTTTTGCGATTGCCGACGGTGGCCACTCGTAGGGAGAGGGTAGAGGAGGTCTGCGACGCTTTTCTTTTGAAACTAGTGGAGGAGGTGGCAGGGGCGGACGGTGGCCGTCATTCAGGATTTCTTGGGAATCGCAAGCTGCTTCCACTAGATTGCTGATATAATTTGCCGTAAGTTGGGCCAAAACAAGAGCCGACTCCGGATTCACGTTCCGCGGATCCACATCTCCACACCCATGCATGATCAACGGCATGTCTTTGGACAGCGCTTCGACGATTTCTGAGTAAGCTTCCTGGGAAACTTTCTTGAAGTCGAACGACCCCGAGTTCTGATTGTATGCCATTCTCTTCGTTCGCTGTGGCTGTTGCTGTTGCTGTTTCTCTCTCTCTCWCACTCTTGGGAAGAACTCGTTGGTCGAWCCCTGKGGACAATTCCAGTACCATACTGTATCGAATCGAAGTTGTCTTCATAGTACGGTACAGAACCCACACGGTACGATAGTTTATCGTCTCCAGAAAAATACGATGCCAGTTCGGTATGTATCACTCGTACGTACGAGTATGTATCGTGACATAATCGGCGACCTGCTGGCGTCGTACTGGCATGTGTACTAATCCATATGTATTCTGATTCTGATCTGTACTCTGGAAAACGTTCCTGAAGCAGAAAGAGCGCGAGACTGCACATAATTTTCTCCTTCAGGAACGTTTTCCAGAGTACGGAACAGAATACATATGGATTACACCAAGTAATCTAACTGAAGATGAGGTCAAGAGCTTTAGCTTGAGACGGAGGCTGAAGTTAGATTACTTCAGCAATCAGCAAACTGAGGATGAGGAGTCCAACAAGGTCTCAAGCTTACCAGCGCTCAGCTTGCCAATTAGTATTTGAGTAATCCACCAGTTTGGCTGGATCTTTAGCATGTACTACTAGTAGTAGTACTACTACTAGTAGTACTAGTAGTAATCACGTGACCTCTACTACCAATCTTTCTTTTTTGTTGGCAAGAAGAAGCAACAAGAAGGTAGAAGGTTAAAGATCAAGTCAATGGTGATGCCTAGCAAGTTTGGCCCATGATTGTAAGTCTGATTTTACAATAGTAATTCTGCTAGATAATATACTGTTGGTGCCAGCTTCCTTTGCATGTCAAAAAATAGACAACAAAGCAAGCATGTTTCTTTTTTGCTGTTTTCTTCACATGATCAAATAGTGATTGACTGTGGCGCCAACACGGCATCCCTCTTCAATCTTGACATCTTCAGTTCATTTTCAAGGTGGGCTCTTTTGCTTTCTTTTTTCCAAGCAAGAAGCTCCTTTTAGTTGTATGCTTCTTTTGCCTCCTGGATTTTTTCCAATAGCTTCCTCTGTTGCAACTCATCAGTGAGTGTTGAACGCTTGTTGTTAAGCTTGGTAACTGTCTTTTGGGAATCCTTCAGTTAGCATTGGATCATCTTTGCAGCCTGCTCAAAATCTACCAACATACAGTATAGTCATAGGATCTATCCTGTTGGAACATTTGGTTCCACCTGCAAAAATGTTGGTATCTGGTGATATGGCAGCTAGTAAGCAGTACCTCTTAAAATATGGTATGTCTCTTTATTTTCTTGTTGTTTTGTCAATCTTCAGTTTTACATTTGAGGCCTTAATTACAATAGTATGATCTGGAAAAATCCAACATATATAGTATTTTTTGTTTGTCGTTTTGAGAAACTAAGAAAATTTGCCATAATTATTTCACTCTTGTTGTCTACATTGCTGTAAGTTGCATAAGTAATGTCTTCTGGTGGTTTGTCTCACCAAGCTTGTACAATTCTTGAATTAACAATTTGAACATGCTCTTCTAATCAATCAGATGAATCCATAGATTTTTGAAGTGTCAGAACACAAGCTCCCCCAAATGTACAATATAGTTGTCAATTTTTGGTTATCTTTTTCAGGAGTAAAATATTTCATGCCAACAACATCCATCATGCTTTTTGTCTAACCACAAACTTTCTATCAAATTTTTGTCATGGTTACATTTGTTGCATTGGAAATGYATTCTCATTGAACATATTTACCTTGTTAATCACTATCAAATTTTGTAGCAATACTGCTCTGCCAATACTGCTCCTTCATTATGTTGCTGGCAACTAGGCAACTGATTATTGATTGTCAGGCTCTACCGGCCTATCTATTGTATAGAGTTGGCTACCAAAATTACAATACAGTCATAGATTTTGGGCCCTTATTTTGTGTGTCGAGACTACTTTTACTGAAAAACTGGCTTGTACTGCACCTTACAGCTGGGCACGCCCTGAATTTTATTCCCACCAGTCTTGCAACAAAGTAGATTCTTGCATACATGCTATTGCTGTATTGGTAGTGCAAGTCGAATATTTAACGCCATGAGTCATTACATGACAAAAGATAGCCCAAAATTGATACATACTAAGTCAAGGAGCAAAACCATTTGTTTTATGTGTGGTCTAAGTATTTGAAGTATGTGAAAACTATACAGAGCCCCAATGTGTAACACTGCTGTCAGTAACTCTAAGAAAAGGGATTGATATGGCAATTCAATCTGCAAATTCTATCATAGCAACTATCACAACTGCTATGAATGGTTTGGTCTTGGAAGAGGTGATTACTGTTCCAAGATGACAAATGACAAGAAAGTAAAATACCAGAGCTTATTCTTGATCAATTCCAAGAGAACAAGGAAATGTGGCTGATTGACACACTACTATGTTAAAGCATGGAGAAATGCATCCACCACTGTTCTTTCTGATCAACCGGACATAAATCAAATTAACCAAGGGGTTGTCTTGCCAAATTTTGAATTCACACAATTAGTGGCCTATTTGTGAGCTCAATAAATATTGGGCAACCTGTGTCCATTGTGGGATTGAAATACATTGAGTCAAACTAGTCATTACACAGTAATAACATGGTCTAAAGTCCAAGCACAACATAATTTACMACATAACTGTTTTAGTCAGAACTAAGAGAGGCACTAGTACTAGGTTGGCCAGAGCCAGAATTCCTAGGAGATCTATGCTGTTACTGCTTGCTCCAAGGGTCAGTGCCTTCCTCCAAGGAGTAGTACAGGGGCACAACCAGTGATGAATGTTATTCAAGACATGGATACATGTTTGTGGGACAGCAAAAAGGTGATAATGACACATTATTTGGGATAAAGAACTAATTGCAAGAAAACAACTACTGGAGAGCATCACGCAAGACATGCTGCTGGTCTTTGATATACTCCAAAAAGAGACAACAATATTTTCAATAATTCCAGTGTACATGAGCACACCTGGCCTACCCATTCATCCTATGCCAGATCCAACTACATAAGCCCAGGGAAATTTTGATATATCTGTGGCTACAACTCCTGAGGATCTTATCACTTCCCTCCAAAATTCCAAGGAATTGGATTCTCAAAATTATTACAAAAGTGTCCAGCGACATTTGCAAGAACACCACAAGCAGCATTTTGTGTTTCTCCACCAGGCTTCACTTGAAGCTCTTATTCCAACCTGCTCTCATGAATCAGCCTGTAGACTCAAACACTCTCAGACCACTGGGGCATGGTTGACAACCTCAGTTGAGATTTAGATTGTGGCCTCACCATCTGTGTGATTGATGTGATGGATGTAGCTCCAGTTTTATAATCAAACATGCCATGTTGTGCTGCCAAGGTAGACTATTCCTGCAACACCATAATGATGCTGCCGGAGATTGGCACCAACTCTGTGCAGAAGCCCTGAAAGCAAGCTCAGTGACCATTGGTTGGCCTGCACCTGAACCAGGCAATTGATAGAGAAACTCCCCACCACCACTATGTGATCTCAGAGGTGATATTGTGGTGCATAGTTTCTAGAAAAGTGGCTCAACAGCATTCTTTGAGATCAGAGTCACTGATGATACAATGAGAGTGCTCCAAGTCCAGGAGAAAGCAAAGAAGGAAAAGTACAATGATGCCTGTCACCAGGCTCATTGTCACTTCACTCCTCTTATCTCCTCTAGTATAGATGGGTTGGAGGGCCCAGAGGCAGTTGTGGTTGGGGTACTAGTAGTACTACTAGTAGCTTCTTCTTCATCATCATAATTTCATAGCTTTGCAGAGGATGTCCTGATAACTCAACAAGTTCACTTACTGGTGTTGTAAACACAGCATACTAGTAGAGGAGGGTGAGATGAGAATACTAAGTTTGCCAAGTGAGAAATTGATTGATGATTTTTTTAGTTRTTGAAGTATTTCAGATGTATTTTTTTTTGTGAACAAGGTCTTCTTCTTTGCTTTTATTCAACCAAGTGGTTACAATACCACTATGCAGTTAACCAAGTGTCGCCTAAAGGCAGCATTGGTGCAATATCATCATGTCATGTCATATCATAGTAACATAGTACAGTACATACATGGAACATATACATCTAGTATAGTTAGGGTTATTTGGCAATGAGTGATTCCCRAAATTATAGAAATGCTAAACTGCTTGTTTAGCATTTTTAAAATAACGGGAATACAAATTTCAACGGACAGACCCCGGAGCATACCAACTCATTAGAATCTTAACTATTCTCCAACGCAAAGACTAAAAAGACTCAAAACGCACGCCACATTTTGGTACAAAGGAAAACATGAAATTTCCGATACTCAACTAGAATAGAAATGAACTCATTTTCTGCTTATTTTCAATATCAGTAGAAAATGAGTTCATGTTCTACGCTAGTAACTAGAGTAATACACAAACACATTTTCCCTTATTTTCGATATCAGAAAATGAGTTCATGTATTAGTCTCTGCTAACGAGTCRACAAACACACTAAAAGACCACAGTTTGCTCCTACTAGCAAAACAAAAGGCAACATCAACCATCAACAATGGGATTAGTGGAAGTGATCACCATGTACTGGTACCTCCAGTTGCACTCAGAGGAACAAGAGCAAAGCTACAAAAGCAAGCTCTCTCCAGAAGAGCGTCATAGGAGGGATAGGCAGATGCCACAAATTGCAATTYGGTGATATGCTGATTCCCCCTTCCTCTACCTGTTCCACTCAGGGGATGACCAAGCACTCCTCAACTGCTGTGGCGTCGACCACAAGGTCTTCAGGGAACTTGTGGACCTGTTTGCTCAAGTATGGAACAAATACAGTGAACACCGACAACGAAATAGTGGAAGTTGCTTGTTTCCCCAGTGGCAAACCAAAGGGAAGGAAGAGAGAGGTAGATACAGTATGTGCCATTGGACTGGTCCTTTATTGGTTCAGAACAAGAGGATCTATTGCATGGTCCATTTCAATGGCCTTCGGCTTGACATTGACAGTAATGTACCGGTGGCTCAAGTTCTCTAGGAGAGTGATGCTGGTTGCCCTTCACAAACACCCAGCAGCCATGGTGACTGTCCMAAGGAAGGAAGAAGTCGATGCTTATGTTGAGGCAATTGGAGAAAAGTATCCGAGGCTTGGACAACAATGCGTTTGGGGAGCTGCAGATGGGCTCAAGCAAGTGATTGAAGCCTCTGGAGACTGGTACAAACAAAGACCATTAGGATCCACATAGCAGTGTACAACTGCCCGGGAGTGTGGCATGACAGTGCCATTGCTGAGCATGGTGTGTACCAAAGGATTGTTAGTGTCCATGAAGAGACTGCTGGGAAGATTGTGGTGGATTCAGCATTTGTCCTGAAAGAATACAAGGATAGCCTCATCAAGAGCTCACAGAGGGACCCAGATCAACCAGAGTGGATACTCCTCAACAGGGACGCAACGTTCTTGAGACAGATGTTGGATTGGGGAATGTGCATGATCCAGGGACAGTTCCCTAGAATCAAAGACAGGATGTGCTTGGAGGAGCAGGGGGAAAGAAAGATCACCATGAACCTTCTTATCAACTTGTACAAGAACTACCAGTGTAGTTATATAGGACACAACCAAATCCTATCGACTTTCATGAGGACACCACCAGCTACTGATCCGGAGGTACCTCACAAAGAGTTAAGGAAAGATCTTGCAGGAGGATACTTCCATGTAAGACGTGGGATCTCCCCTGATGGAAATTCGATATTCCAGCAATGATTCCCATGGTTGATTTGGTTCTGTGGTTGTTGCGGAAGAGGCATGTTTAGTTGTTTGTTAGTTCTTTTGCAACAAGTTGTTTAGTTCTTTCAACAGCAACAACAGCAACGTCAATGGGATTTCAAAACGCCAAAGGGGTAACAAGCAACACTCGATAAGGCAAGTACGATACGAGCACCACTATCATGGTGGAAAGGATGCAATAGTTACTTTCCTTAACTGGTTTGAACCGGCAAAACTGTGTTTGCTTTCAGTGTTTGCTTGCAGCAAGCAATATGAATGAACTGTTCCCTGGGGGGGGGATTAGCTGCTACCGTAGGAGCAAGCTGCTAGGTAGCTGATACGCAAGTAGGGTTTTCATGTATACCCCTGTGACCTGGCTTCTGCACTTGTTGATACACACAAATGATGGAGTAAATACCAATTTATACTGTATAATGAATAAAAGTTCAGCATTATACTGTAATGAAAAGAAGTTTATGATAGACAACATRTGCATGCCAATCCAAACCGTTTTGTGGGACTTCCCACGTGCCAATACAGGCGAAACAGTTCTAATCCCGCATTGGTATACACATTTACCTTCACAAGAAAACCTTTATAAGCAAGCAAAGAGTTACTCATAAAGTCCTTACTAGAAAAGTACGTGACAACACGCTAACCAACTAACAAGCTCAAGCTCATTGTTTTGTATCAGGACAGATACAGTATAGTTTAGTTAATTTAGTCTAATGTAATGTAATCATTTAAATGCCAGGACCATGGTGCTTCTTTTTCACCATGGGATTCTTCCTCTCCTGTGCGTTTGCATTTGTTCAAGGTTGAAGCAGCCAATGTTTTGACAGTTGATGCAACCAAAGGAGGACCATAGGAATGGTAATGGTAGGGGTTAGGGGGACCGGGAGGAGGAGGACCATGGTAAGAATGTTGTTGTTGCTGCTGCTGCCAGGTATTCATCATSCTAACAGCTGCTCCAAGGAATTTCTCTACTACATCCTTTACACCACTCCACATCTGAATGATGTGTTGGTCTCTTCTTTCCTCTCTTTGTTCCTGCTTAATAATGTATTCGTTGAATACAGTGGCGTCGGGGACAGTTTTCCTTTGTCCTTGGTAAGATCTCTTCTTTGCTGGGGTAGATTCAACAAGAGAAGGGGTCAAGTTACTGGCAGCAGCAGAGGAAGCAACAGCAGCATACTCCTCTCACTCCTGCTTTTCTTCCTTGTCAGCAGCGGATTCATCTCCAGCAAGAAGAATTGGAGCTCCTGCATTTATCAATCTGGCAGTTGCAGCTGTAGTTGCCCCTGAAGACAGCCCTGTTAAACCAGCTACAGTCTCACTCTTAATGAAGCCTTGCTCCAGATCAAAGACCTCCTCTGCAGTACCAAGATTTGCCTTTTCACCAATCAACTTGTGGGCTAGCCTGGCCATCCTCGCGTACTCCTGGATGTTGGGATTTCCGGTGGAGCTCTTGATCCTCCTCACAGCTGCATACTTAGTCTTGATGGAGGTCGTGGTCCTACCAACAGGCCAACTCTCAGCATACTTTGCTGTAATGTACTCCCATCCCTCACCACATGTGGGKAGTACATCCAGTATCAACCTCATGAGACTAGTGACCTCTGCTTGTGAGTAGTTAATAGTACCACTCTTTTGGCCAGATTTGCCGGCAGCAGCAGGAACAGATGGATCCATCATAACAAATATACTAGTGTGGGGGATGGGACAATGGGCCTGCTTGTCCTCATGACAATGAGCTCCCTCTTTGAGGTCGCCGGCAGCCTCCTCCTCCTCCTTGTGACCCTCTCTTTGCTGCAACAAAGAAAGAAAATAGAATGTACTGATTAACAGCACTGATCGAGACATCCTAGTTTATGTCCCAACTGGGTGCCATTCTTAAGAATAGAGGCACCTTGGATGTTTGTTGACCATGGGGCATGCTYGTATCTTCTTGTTGTTCAGTCTTAGTTTTGGTGGGCCTTTCTGTTGAATCTTACAATGGACTCAAAATTTTGATTCTTGGGTTCCGTCATAGATTTAGCACATTTTGAATGGCGTCAGCTGACCCACTCTAAATATGCTAAATCTATGACAAAATGTGCTAAATTTTCGGTCTCTCCGTCTATCAAATTTATCATTTCTATAATTTCGGGAATCACCCAATAAATGAATAGGCTCCTGCACCAACATGAGAGTGTGAATCCCATTTTTAAAATAATAATTTTCTTGTAGAAGTGTACAGAACATGGTTGAAACTGAGTTGTTTTTAACCGTTAAATGACATCAATTGCTATGCCACTTTGCCGTAATCAAGCTGTGCTTGTATTTTGTAGTAGTATTTCTGATCGACGTGAAATGATCATGGTGCGCCAAAAAATTAACGTGACGAGAAACCGATGGGATTTGTACGGTACGATTACGTGTGGGAGTACTGTACACCCTACGAACCGTGCTCCTACTAGGAAAGGGTTCCGTTTCGTTGGAAAGCAATATGAGATTGCAAAATGAGATGAATCATCTCCTTCCGTCGGTTTCGTTTGTAGGGTACATTGAGACGATCTCATTCCGCAATTGCACTTTAGACGCATGCCGTTCACGGTTTCTCTATATTCTACCAYTGCATTATCCGTAGAGACTGTACCTTTCTAGTCTCGATATTTTTTAGTCCATGGACAAAAATCGATCAAACGACGCCTATGTTGGTGCAAGGAGAAAATGGTGGAGCACCGATCTTCCGCCGGCCATATCCTTGCCTATTCTTGTTTTCATCGACATGTTTGCCGTGGCTCAAGTTGTTCCGCTCCTATTTCAATATTACAAAAATGCCGGAGTTGTATCGGCGACACAACGGGAACTCCTCAGTTCCGTTTTTTCAGCGTCACAAATAATTGGAGGTGTCCTGCTGGGTGCATTGACCGACGCCAAAATATTGGGGAAAAAGACACTATTGTATCTTTCGTTTGGTGGATCGGCTCTAGCCTATCTGATGATCACATACGGTGGATTTACGGCATTGATTCTTTCTCGAATAATTGTCGGCCTTGTTAAGCAAACCATGACAGTCACGACCAGCATGATGACAAAGTGCACAACGAAAGAGAATCGAACGAAACATATGGGACGGTTGGAATCCAGCAGTACAGCGGCRTGGATCCTGGGACCATCGACAGGTGGTCTCCTCTATAAATGTAAGTATTTTTGGAACAAATTCAATGGACGCATTTACTATCAAACGTATACGATGCATTAACCACTCGAAGGTAGCTTTGACACAAAGTTGATTGATCGCAACTGATTTGATGCTTTCCTTTCGCTTTATTGTATTGTCTCACGATCCAATAATATTCCCTTCAAACACAATAATTCATTATTCTGAAATACCCAATTATAGATGTGGATCAAAAGGCACCTGCCTTGCTTGCATCATCTCTGTTCATTCTGAACATGATTTTCGCCCGAATTTTCTTGAATGGAAACCTGGAGGAAAACGCATGCCTAGTAGAAGACGGCGCTGGCACCCAAAGCAGTGGTAGGAATTCCGATCCGACTACTGTCSACAGCGACAAAAAGATAAGCGGCAAACTTGAGACGAAAGAAGTAAGCAAGGGGAAGACCACTAATGGAAATTTTTGGGAGAACGCAAAGTCATGTTTCAGTTCAAAATCCCTAGCTTCCGTTATTGCTTGTTTACTGATTTTTTCATGGATGTTTCGAGCAACATCCTACGCCAGTATGGGGTCTTACTATGAAGATATGTACGGCTTTGAGCCCCACGCAAGGGGGTATATTCAGAGTTATCAACGAATCTGGGCCTTTGTTGTACAATCCTCACTGATAGGACCAGTCCTTCAACGAGCGGGAGGCGAACGTCGGGCTGTCTTCTTTGCGGCAATACTCCTTGCAGGGTCCACATTTTTAGAGGCAAGGCAAAGTTTCGTCGTGTTTCTCTTCGCGATTTGTCCTTCCATTGCCCTGAGCACCACTATGATTAGTGTTTCTTTGAGATCACTGCTGACACAGTTAGCACCAGGGGATGCGATCTTTTCTGTATTTGCCGCGATGGATGTTTTACGGAATGCCACTGCAGTAACGGTGCCTTTTTATCGCGCGTTTCTGTTTCGCTTTTTGAACAGCTTTCGACACCAAGATAGAGTGGATGGTGCCAGTCAAATCGCAATGGAAGGTGATCCCGATCCAGTCACCTGGGTAATTTGTGCGGGTCTCCACTGGGTTGTTGCGTCAGTTACGATGCTCTATTTGTTGGGCTTTGGACAAGCGCATACACAGAGCGGTCTTGAGAAAACTCTGGCGTCTGGAAAGAAAGATTTATAGCGAATTCTTAAGTGGGAGAAAAAGCTGGATGTATTCGTCGTAATGAAACACTTAAAGTACATTTTTACCCTGCCCGAAGTCGAATAGCATGTGCACCACTATCCTGTATGGAATAATTGAAAATCAATTTATTCCAATTAGTGCTCGTACTATTAGTTTGGGACTTTCGAAATCCCGATGCATGTGCGCTTGAATCTTTGTTCCCGCTACTTTGAACGTTCTTCCATCCCCGTCCATTGGGTGTCTCTGAAAAGATAAGTCTCCCGTGGGCTTCCCGTGAAAATCCAGAAAGAAGTGGGAGAACGTCTACTATTGCATCAACCGATTCTTCCAATGTCCTCTCCCAAGGGACGTATTTTCTGTGTATTGCGTCGCTCGTAGCTTGTTTATGAGCCAGCCCTCCAGCACCAACCCATCCACTGTGGTCCTGTCCTTCGTTTCCTTTGATTTTGTGCAACAGTTGATCCAAGTCTCCGGAACATCGAATAATCAATCCGCACTGTCGCGCAGGGGAGGTCTGTTTTCGATTTACGAGGCTGATCAGACTSTCCACAAAGCAGTACACTAATGAATCACCCACGATTGATGCAAGAGCGGTGACATCGTCGATGATAATCCACGATACATGTGATTCCGCAACTTCCCCACTTTGTTCTCTATTCTTGTTGTCATTACCATCGTTTATCCAGGCCTTTATATCTTTGTATGTATTCTTTAGATAAYTTTCTGCATCAAATTCATTGTTGGATACTTTACTTTTTGACTCACTTTTTCCAAGAATGAGGTCTGAAATTTCCACAGCCAGACTACGGATTGCGAACCCATTGCCACTTTGGTTATCGTTGTTCCTATTGTTATTATTGTTCGTATTATTTCTCAGATAGGCCGCCGCGGCTTCGCATCCAATCTTTTTCAAGGCCGATGCAACTTCTCGTTCCGTAGAAGAATTCCCCGACAACCACAAGACCTTTCTCGAYAGAGATGGCGACCGACCGACTCGGTTTGGACCGGGTCCGAACGACGACAGCATCTTCGACGGCGAGGAAAAGAGATGCGCTACCATCGTAGAAAGAACGAAGGTTCCATCTGTCTCTATCGAATCACAAACGAGGATGTTCCGTGCAATATCTGGAGACCACGGGAGAACCTCCTGAAGAGGGATTGTATTAGCATTCATGTTGATTGATCGAACAGGATAATTGTCTTCCGATATGTCATCTCAGATTAACTCCTTTCGTTTCCCGGTACAGAGTTCCTAATCGTACCACAATTTTGATGAGAGAAGATAAATCAAGATCAACGTTTTGAAAAAATTCCGCATCAGCTTGGAAACCAGACGTGCATTGTGCATTGCGAGGCTAGCGGGTAGCGGGTACTCGTCTTCTTACTAAGGTACGAGTACCAAGGCCTAGTAAATCCTAAGCATACTTACTCGTAACGGTACGTACTTCCTTTTGTACCGGAGGAAAGAATTATTGGTGAAAATGATGTTTGAAGATGGACAGACGTTCACAGTATGCATTGACGTCTCCGTCGCTGCAGTCAAACGTTAGCCGCCAGTTGATTAGTTCGGGTATCGTACCACGAAAGAGCCTATGAGAGAATGAAATGAATGATTGCGTACGGTACGATACCACTTATGGGACGAAAAGTGCGGGAATGCAATGAAAATCATCGTCGTCAACAACAATCAACATCGACATCAACACCATCATCGTGCTTGTCAACACGGCAACAAGACCAAAATAGGAACATTCAAGTCATCAACCTATCTTTATATTGCTTCGTCGTATCGGGACAATAGACAATAAACTGAGACACGAGAACACTCGACTAGAGATAAAAAAATCGTACTGCATCCCGAACCAATATCGTTGAATTATGTCAGCCGCTTACAGTCATGGGGACGCCGAGGCGCTTCTTGAAGAAAACCTGCAATTGAACTCCAAGTGGACCATATGGTTTGATAATCCGCGCTTTTCCGATCCAAAGAAGGATTGGAAGGACAACCTTACCAACTGTGGCTCTTTTGACACGATAGAGGGATTTTGGAGAATTTTTAACAACCTCAAACCGTCTTCCATGCTGACGGTGAATTCAAATTACCATGTTTTTCGTGAAGGAGTGATACCCATGTGGGAAGACCCAGCTAACAAGAACGGAGGAAAATTTGTTCTCACTATCCCGAAGAAAGATTCTAAAACTGGACGGTGTGACGAATGGTGGCTTTACACCGTCCTGGCGATCATCGGGGAGACGTTGGATATGGATGGAAATGAGGTATGCGGGGCAGTGGTGTCTATTCGTAAGAATCAAGATCGTGTTGCCTTATGGCTGAAGAGTACGGACAAAGAACGATGCTCGAAGATCGGGGCTCGATGGAAAAAATGTTTGGAAATGTATCGAACACCTCTGAGGTATCAGGAACACGCGGCCGCGGCTGCAAGTGGACGTTCCTTCCGAAACGAGAGTACATTTGAAGTCTAAAAACACAAGTAATAGAAATGAAAACTTATGTATGATTCAAATAGATACAATCTATGTCTTTTCTCTACTTTTCGTAGGCACAATTTGATGGCAATAGATGAGTTGATCAAGCATTCATTACTATTTCAAGTGCATCTGGCAAAAGCTTCCATTTCATAACTTTGGTGAATTTTTGGTATGGTACTTTCATACAGATCCTAAGAGATTGCTGTTCTGGCTGTTACAGGCATGTCAGCTTGATTCACTGGAGGGAGAAATTAGTAGTAAATCTGCAGCCATTCCAAAGATGAAGAGTTCATGTTCTTGTTTCTTCTTGGGGGTTCAAATTTTACATTTTCTTCCTTGAAGAGAGGAGTGCATTGCTTGTGTCATGTGAATGGGATGTCCACAGTTCAGGCACTTCGTCKATGAATTGAAGAAAATATCATTACAGCTCCTCCCAGCAGGAGAAGAAAAACAAAAAACRGGCTTTGTAGTTTTTGTGCAATGAAAACAGCAAAAGAACAGCAGGTGCAGAAAACTGTATGGTAATACTCATGGAGGTACTGTAGTAGTACAACTAGTAGTAGTACATACTAGTATTTCCATTGTAATAATGATATTATGATATTTTTACTAAACCTACTAGCAAAATATGCAAAACAATTTCACACATGTTTACTTCTGCTGCCTGGTCTACACCAGCAGTCTGACATAGTAATGGTGCTGTTTGGTTCCTCTTCTACTAGTTGTAAATGCCACCACCAGTGCTAGTAGTACTAGTACTCACCAGTTCTTCTTGCTGTGGTGCTGCCTGTTGGTGGCAACAAGAATTCATGAAGTGAGCTGGTGGTGCTGCTGCTGCTGCTTGAGTGCTACTGATACCAGACTAAGCTGACTGATATGAGGAGCAGTTGGTACAAGGAGAAGTGCTGGTGATGATACCAGTAGTAGTACTACTAGTAGCACTACTTGTAGTAAAGTACAACACTGTGTAGTTTTTGTGACGTGTCCATCATACGGTTCGTTCATAGTATTCGTTCATAGTACGTGAGTGTACGCAAAGAACAGGTACAAATAATGGAAGACTGGTTATTGACATTCCCGTCCACCCCATCTGATTTGAAGTTTTCATGCCAACACCTCATCTTTTCTTTCTTTTTCTCCAACAGGCGGTGCGAGTATGATCAGAAAGCATTACGGAAAGACAGCGACGACGACCTTCGCTGTAACAACATGCTCCTGACGTCCGGCGATGTAATCTGACAAAAAGTAACAATACGAAAAAAACAAATAGCAGCAGTGATCAGAATTTAAGAAAACGAGTTACAAAGATTCCATCTGCCTGGGGATTTAAAGAATTTTTAGGGATATGACGAATTTGATGACGAGAGAGGGCCTTGGTGTCTTTCTCGCTTTGATGGCAGTTTTCGTTTGTGATCATTATGCAGCATCTTTCCTGCTGAACCAGGCCACGAGGGCCTATCAGCCAGCTCCATTCGATAGATCCGTAGTAAAAACTTTCTCTACTCCTTTCTCGGCATCGAGTGGCAGAAATAACGAGCGGGATAATAAAAACAATTCTCGAAAGCCTAAGAAATCGGTAACTGATCGATCGCAAGAAGAAGCAATCAGCCTGATTCAAGATATTATTCGAGCGGCAGTCGATGCGGGTCCACAGGCAGGACCTGTTCGAACCTTACAAGCCTACAAGGCATTTTCAGAAACAGCTCGCGAGTTCCTTCCTCGGTTTGGACAATCACCTCCTGTGTTCTCGGCACCCAAAGCCAYACGGACCCTTTTTGAAAAACTTGGTGCAACTTACGTCAAGTTGGGACAGGTACGTCTCTTGCATGGCGTGATGTGCTTTCGATTAACATGGAAATTTGCGAGATTTCTGAAAGCGCTTTCGACTTGCTGTTGTTGCTTCAACCCGTTCGGTAGTTCGTAGCATCGAGTCCCACTATATTTCCTAAAGAATACGTCTTGGAGTTTCAGAAGCTCTTAGACAAGACCGAACCTGTCGAGTGGCGAATTATCAAACGCGTCATTGAAAAGGATTTAGGTCCAATCTCCAAGACATTTGATTTTGTTGACGAGAAACCTCTYGCCTCTGCGTCGATTGCTCAGGTTCATGCAGCTAGATTGAAGACCGGAGAAGATGTCGTCATTAAGGTCCAAAAGCCAGGTATAGATGCGTCTCTCAAAGCTGATTTGAGTTTTGTCTTTGTAGCCTCACGTGTTTTGGAATTCCTACAGCCTGATTGGGAAAGAACTTCCCTATCCGGAGTGGTTGGAGACATTCGATCATCCATGTTGGAAGAATTGGATTTTACTAAGGAGGCTAAAAACACGGAAGAATTTCGCCGATACTTGGCTCAGAACAATCTTTTGAACAAGGCAACCGCCCCAAAAGTGTATCAAGATTTTACAACTAAGAAGGTCTTTACGATGGAACGCCTTCGTGGAGTCTCTATGCTAGACGAGGAAACTCTTACCAAGGTGACAAAAGATCCGGAGGTAGGGCAACAGGCAATAATATCGGCGTTGAATATATGGACGCAATCGGTGATGCAAATGCCATGGTTCCATGCCGATGTGCACGCAGGAAATCTTCTTCTATTAGACGACGGTCGAATAGGCTTTATTGATTTCGGTATTGTTGGCCGAGTGAGCGACAAGACATTCAAAGCAGTCAATGAACTCAGTACCTCACTTGCTCTCGCAGACTACAAAGGAATGGCACAAGCTCTTTGCAACATGGGTGCTACAGATGAAGAAGTTGACGTCGAAAAGTTTGGTCGCGATATCGAGGTAGTAATGAAAAGAATCGCGAGTGTGCAACCTGATATCACTATTACGGAAATGCAAGATGGTGCTATTGGTGGAACCCTCGACTTCGATGAGACGGAGATCACAAATCTTCTACTGGAACTCGTCGAGATTACTGAAGACAACGGCCTGAAGCTCCCGAGAGAGTTCGGCCTTCTGGTGAAGCAAAGTCTTTATTTCGACCGTTACTTGAAGATTCTCGCTCCTGAATTGGATGTTATGAATGATGCGCGTGTCAGTGGACTTGGAGAAGAGGCACTGAAAACCACAAGTATGCCTATGGTGAACGGTTCGGGAGGCAACACGGACGAGTCGATAGTGATCGATGTTTAACTTAATTCGAGGAGAAGATGCCATGAATTGATACCGCGTTTTTCTCGAAAATTGTGATCCCCAGGTCAATAGCTCCTGCATATCTTTCCAGCACAAATAAACTTGAAGCTGGCGATAGTTATTTTACGAATGAAATCTAAGTGATTTGCAACTTTATTTCACGTACTTCTACTCAGACATCACAACCGATCTTAATCCAATCTTTATTTTGTATAGTTTGGAACAGCACCGAATCACATTCTAATTCACAAGATGATTCGTTAATTCACATTCCCCACCTCGTACATTGATTTTTTTATAGACCACCACCCGAATGCCCACCTTCAAAATCTTTGTCGGGAGAGATGCTAACAGTAAGCCCCTGCCGTTGAAGACCCAAGCAAAATTGTTCAGCCTGTTTTTTCCATGTCTTTGTCACAGTTGCTTTGCCAATACCATGGGTTTCAACACAGATTTCAAAGGAAGCGGCTCGGTCCAAAGTTCCCACAACCTTACTAAGACTTCGGATGACGTAATTGAAGGTATGGACTTCGTCGTTGTGAAGGACAACTCTCCACATTTCTTCCTTCTTTTTTTCTTCCTCGCTTTGGGACTCAGTTCTGTCTTTCGTGATAGTTTGTCGGCCTTTTTTTGATTTACGACTTTTTTCTCCTTCCGCCATGTAGAGTTGTGTGGACGAAGTCAAAACCGGAGTCGAGGCCACTATTTGTCTGTTGATAGAGGTAGGTGTCAATGGCGAAAAGCCAGAAGCCAGCGCCATGAGGCAACCGACACAAACGAAGAGGAGAGGTATGTTCCTGGAAAACATTGTTTTAGATCTTTGGTTGGTTTATTGACGAAGGACTGGTAATTTTTGTGTTGTTAGGGTGGAGTGGCGCTAACAGTGAAATATTGTGGTGTAGCTGGTCGTCTAGATTTTTTGGTTTACGATCCCAAGTACGAAGTACTTCGTACTCGAACGTACCCTCCCCCTGCTACCGTACATAGAACATGACACGACACACGTCAACAGGTCGAAGGAGAGACTCCTTCTCACTTTACGTTGCTTATAGCAGTAGATACAGGAAACCATCTCACTCTGTAGGGTACTCGTACTGGTATGATTCTTCGACGAAGATCTCTTCATTCAGGGAAAGAATTGCATCCCTCTCGTGCTTCAAACTGATGACGATAGCGTGAAGGTCCACGTGGAGATCATCTTGCAACTGATACGTTGAGTATCCTTCGTATGTACGTTGGGACCTAGTAGGAGTTGATTGAAACGCTAGTGGGTGATTCCCGTTATTCTAAATACARTACGGTACCCTAAAGCGCTAAATGTAGGGATMTAGGGTTTTTAGATTAATGGGAATCAAAATTTTAATGGACAGACTGAGAGGAAGGCCACCTTCATTGCAGTCTTTTTAGGAATTTGGAATCTCAACTATACTCCAATGTAATGACTAAAAAGAGGAACACAATGCAACACACACATTTTCGAGAAATTTCGTATCGATAATATGCACGTGTGTTGAGTCTTTCAGTGGACTGGAAAAWTTTAGTATTCGTGGGTTCCAATCTAAAAGTAGAGTATTTAGGACACAGTGCTTTCACCTGTTMTAAATATACTAGTAAGTCTGGAGTCACATTCTCTAAATTTTTGGTCTGTCAGTCTATCAAATTTAGAGATTTTAGTAGAATGATGACAGGAATCACCCATTGGCTCGCTAACGCAAATATTTCTAGTTTCTACAGTGCAAAMACTAAGTTAGTGCCAATAAGGTGGAAAGTACTGCTCTGAAAAGAATGTAAAGGTAAATCAACGAAAGCACTGCTGTGGCTGTTTGTTGTTTCTGAAATAGAACTGGAATTCATTTATTTGTTATGTATGTTGGATATTGTTGTTGGTAGTGGTGGTGATTTTTGTAAGGAGAAGAGGTGTTCTTGCAAACAGACCACTACTGGGAGTTCTACTACTACTACTACTTCTTCTTCTTCCTCCTCCTCTATGTAACTCTTGTTGAAAGCACAACAACATAAGAAATCCAATTGCTTGTGTAAGACCAAGTTGAAACCAAAACAGCTTCAAAAGATCTTCCCTGTTCTTGCTGTACTGGCAATATTGATGTGGAATTGAGTTCAACGTGTTTTTTTTTACTTGTTTGAGTTTGATGAGTAATTTTTTATTCATTTTCTTGCAGACATCAAAAATTAGCTGTTGCTGCTGTGTTTTTGTATCTACTTCTTCAATGACCATCTCTATCCATTAAACAAAATATCCATTACAATCCTGGTGGTGGTACCCATTTTTCAGTTTGACAGACTTGAATGTACAAAAAATGACGCTATGGTTTGCTTTTGATTTTTCAACATTTATGTGTTGTCATCAATCATGACACCAGGTCTACCAACATGCAATTTAAGCACTGGATTTATCCTTTTGGAAGGTTAGGATCCTTTTGGAAGGTTTGATTCCACCTTCAACAAGAATGCCAGCATCTGATTTGGCAGTTAGTTGTACTAAGCAGTATTTCTGAAAAAATATGGCATGTTTCTCCTGTATTGTCTTGTTTTGTCAATCTACAGTTTTAGGTTTGAGGCCTTTGCTACAGCAATAGTGTGATCTGGCAATCTATCATTTATAATTTTTGAAAGTGTCATTTGGGAAACTCAGAAAATATGCCATCATTTATTGCACACTTGTTGGCATTACTTTAGTATGTTGTTGTATAAGCAATAACTTCTGCTGGGAGTTTGTCCCAAGATTTTACAACAATTCTTACATTGATAATTTAAACTTGCTCTTCTTTCAAGCCATTTGTTCTTAAATCATCRAGAAAGCTCCCCTAGATTAAAACTTATTTAAAGCTGTGGTTTGTTGTTTCAAGGTCAAGAAATATGTTGTTTTTTCCTCTCCAAAGATAGAAATCTTTTGTTGACAAGAGGGAGTCTTGTCCTCCTCCCACTGGGTTGAGTTGAATGGATTAGTCTTTATGATTTTCCAGTACCACTACCACCAGCAGTCCATGATAGTAGAAGACAGGTGAACTGCTATTCATTGCTTGTGGAAATCAGATGATTGCACAATTTTTTTAGTGTCAAAACAAAAGCAGCAACAATCTATCTATGCATTTTCCTGGTCCAAAGTTATGTTTAATCTCGCAAACTAGAAGAGGCACTATGTTGGCCAGAATTAGAACTCCTTKTGGGAAGATTGCTCCTAGTAGCTGGTCTGAGGGGTGACACCTCCCGTCAAGGAGATGTGATGGAGGCACAACAATTGAGGTGGGCGGGCTGGTTGGTTGATTTGTTGAAAAATTGTGTCAAAGTAATCTCAAGGGTTCAACTGTTATTAGTACTAGCAGCAGGGGCCAGGGAAGGCTCCTGTGGCAAACTAGGCAGTTTGTGTTGTCTCTTCTTGGAGTATGGAACTTTGCATAGTAGTAGTAGTATTAGTAGTAGTACTAGTACTAGTAGTAGTAGTAGTAGTACTAGTACTAGTAGTAGTACTAGTAGTAGTACTAGTAGTAGTAGTAGTACTAGTAGTAGTACTAGTACTACTAATTTACGGACTGGAACCAGTGTTTTCCGGTCACAATGTTGTTGTTGTTTATGACATTTGTGCCAGAAAGCAACAATGACAACAACCCCAGCCCCCAGTATTCAACCAAGGCCAATCCTATGAAGAACAATGCCTGGAGTATATGTTACATTATACTGAAAGATTCCCCAGCCTTATCTCCATGCAGTTCCAGTACTTTACGRACTGGAATAGTTGTCCAGTCACCACATTGTTGTTGTTTCCAGCRTTTGTGCCAGAAAGCAACAACAACAACAMCCCCAGCCAATACTGCCTAGACCAGTATCATCCCCAGTATTATCCTCCACCAGCTCTGTACAGTTTGCCTCAGCTGGATCCCTCCCCAGTTCTCAAGGACCACCAAAAGACTCCATCTTCCAGTCATGATTGTTGTTGTTTCTGTCATCTATGTTGGACAGTGACAACAACAACCCCAAGCGTTCAACCCCATATCTAGATCTTATAGATCTTATCAATATATCCCCAGTTTCTTCTTCATGAAGATGCTCCACAAACAGCTGCTCCTTTGGGTGCGCTCAGCTGTGATTTGAAAGAAGTGTGTCAGTTTTATTTTTTCTTTCGGCTTTTTTTTACTAGTCCACCACATGTGTCCTCACCCACTGGGATGTGACTTGCCTTGATTGGCTTGGCAGTGTGCTTGGCACTTGTTTCCTTGATCACTGCGATGGTACTTGTCTTCTGGCTTGGCAGTGCCCTTATAATGGCATGGTGGTTCTCATCCATCCAAACTGTGAACCAACTGCTTTTATGTCCTCTGAGTCCAKCAACCTGCCTTAATTGGCTTGTCAGTGTGCATAAAACTTGGTCACGCCTCCACAAAACCTCCTCAGAGAGAGGTGCCACACCTTGGTGCAGCTAGGAGCATTCTTCTCCCTAGTCCAGAGAGGCTCTGGTTCTGACCATAGAGTGCCTCTTCTAGTTATTGAGGTTAAATAACTTATTCCAACCTAGTACTAAAACCCACCCATAATATCAAGTTCCCACTCCCCTGTTGGATTTTGAGCGATATTGTCAAAAGGATTGAGAGGAGCAACAACATAGACAGCCTCAAACAGATAACAGAGGTGTCTATATTTCCTGTTAGGCAGATTGTCTTCATCCAAGCTCTGCCATGAAAGCTTCTTCAATTCTCCTTCTTCTTCCTCTGACCAATCAAAAAGTGACAAGACCTCATTCCTCTTGCTCCTATCCATACCCAACCCAACTCTTTACTTGATGTCCTGAGATACGCCTTCCCCTCCATCTACATTCTCAGCAATGTCTTTATCTACTGGATAGCACTGGTCCAATAATCAACAGCCTGATCTTTGAAGGTAGTGAGATCTCTTATAGTTCCATTTGCTGGCACGTCAAGTATTCCTGCCAAAAAGGTGGAAGTCGCGTCATTGAGAATAGTCTTCCCTTCAATGATACTTTATGTTTTCAGCTGTTGTTTGGTCCCAGTTGATGATACCATTTTTGTCMATGCCTGCCCTTGTCCACTCATTGCTCATTTGAATCAATAGACACTTAATTTTTCCTCCTGTATTTGCTGGTATTTTTGAGCCCAGGTTGACTGTCTGGCAAACTCATGAACTAAATTTATGGTCTGAGCAGTATGGGAGTGAATAGCTAATAAAAAATGATCCACCTCTGGGATAAAGCACTGGCCCTGGTCTGCTTATTGCTCCTTTGAATCAATGGATAGTTGGATTATCTTCTTTTGTATCTGCTGGTGATTTTGAGCTAATGATGACTGTTAGGTGAGCTCTGGGAACGTAGTTGTGGTCCAAACAGTGTGGGGGTGCAACTCCAATTTAGAAAAACAATGGACAGCCTGTATTAAAGTACTGGTGCTGCTGTCAAATCAAACCACCTGGTCAATCCAACAATTTATTCCTATCTCAGGGGGGATACAGATAGTGTCTGCAAAAAAACATATCCAAATCTGATGTCTAGTTTGAGATATAGATTGGCTAGCTGCTACCACAGGGTGTGTGTAATGATTATTTGTGAAGTAAAAATTTAGAATGTGATCATGGCATTTTTCTGTTGGGATTTAATAGTAGGGAGCCAGCCTGAATTCAAAATTAAATTTCCCCTTATTGAGGACAGTTTTCCTCCAGAAAAAAAGTTTGAATTTCTCACAAATTGATTTTTTCAAGCACAAAGGATCACCTTTTAATTTGTTGATTTTTCATGCAAAAAATAACCCATGATAGGTTATTTTGTTGGAGAAATAACCAATGAAAGTAGAGCCAAGGATGTGGAGCATTGAAGTCAGTTCTTTGTAAGGAGAACCAGGTTTTGGGGGA